AAGAACTTGAGCTGGAAAAATGCGGGAAACCCCATACAGAAACAGAGCTTCATAGGCTAGGTCGTGATACTGCGAGGTGAGCTCGCTAGCAAAGCCATGACCACTAAAGATCACTTTATTGAGATTCCTGCCACACAGACCAGTGTCTGCAGAACTCATGCAACACCGACTAGCTGCAAATTGATATGGAACACCCAACCCAAGTCACAGAATGGCAGGGGGTGACCCTGATCCCACTTATAACCTCGTTGTAGATGCCAGAAAAAAAGTAAACACTCCGGGTTCCGACTTCGCCAAATCTCTGGGTCTGTGCTTTGGGTTTCTGCCCATGACAACCTCTGAACCTATTCACCACTAATTTTGGGTGCAGAACCTTGGGGTGACACAGCGTGGCCTAGGAGAGACGAATGGACCACCTGAAAGGGCAGCACGGAAAACATCTGGACACCGAATCAGCGCACAAAGAGGCACGAAACACATGTGGGCGGACAGATATTTATCAGGGAACCGCGGACAACAGTCAAGTGGGGATTCATGCCCACTAACCTTTGAGGAGGTTCGCTAATACAATTCATTGCCATGTTAACTGCGGGGGGAAGTAACGTACATTCATCCTGGGCCAGCTTGTTGGCCGCGGCAACTCGCCGCGAACTGCATTCTTGCTCTAGACTCACCTGGTCTCACCTAGAGACCTGGCTTGGAACAACAGTTTTTTGCCGCAAAGACGAAAGCCAGGTGGCCATGGGTCAAAATCCCGGTCAGCCCCCAGTGAACATCAACCAATCCCCATTAGAATCGGCTCTAAAATGGGTGGTGCACTTACCCCAAAATGGTACCATTTGCGACGCACAGCCAGGTGAACACGGCCTCCCGTGCGCCATTTGACTTTGACCCCAGAACCAAGGCCTCATCACCATTCCCCACGCTTCCAAGTCAATCCAAGTGATACTGTGGATGGTTGCGAAATCCATTTCGCACGACCCAAGAAACCTGGAATGATGATTCCCTGCAAATACCAACAAACGTTCTGGCTTCAACCATGGTTTCTTAGGTGGCGCGAAGTGGATTTCGCAACCATCCACAGAAGGCTCCAAGCCGGGAGAGGCCTCGGGCTAAGTACCCTCATTGGGCTTCCGTCAGTGGGAAAGTGGACCTTATGCCTGGCCTGCATACAACGAGTCTCTTTCCCATAGGTGTCCCTTTAGGGCAAATAGATGGGTTTCCCTGGTAGATGATTAAACCACCAGGCAAACCAGGGCCATCTATGTTCTAACAGAACAACCAAAAAGGACACCTATGCTCTTTCCCCTTGTCCACATTGTTTTTTGTTGGTGGCAGTTATCAATGATCGAATCTATGGGTTATCGATCATCCAGGTCAATTCCGAGCGCCCAAACAGAAAGCTCCTTGGTTAACGGCGAGCTGCAAGCCAGCAGCATCCTTGGCTGACGGAACATACTGACGCGCCAGTTGCTGCTCGTTTACCCCATTCCTGGGATGTCATCCATCCCAACTGGTGCGGGGTTGTGTCCGCCCGCAGTATGATCAAGTGACGAAGATGAACTGTGGGTCCAGGTCATTGCTTGGGGAAGGGCTGGATTGGGTTCTCACCCATGTTGCCCATCAGTATCCAGCACCCATGTATGACAAAAAACCATGAACCAATCGGACATGGACCCAGAAAGGTGCCTTGAAATGAGCCTTCACGAGGAACCGGCTGCAGGAGTCATGTTTTGAGCTCGATCGCTCAAAATCATGCCCAACACAACTCACTCGCTGCGCAAGAGCGCAGTGGGAAATTCTGGTGTGAGGAGTCCCTCTTCGGAGGAGTGGGTTCCTAGTATTTCTTGCATTTCTCCCAGCAAAGGGTCCAAGCCGCTCTCCTTCCCCGCGGAACGTCTGCGCGTTTCAACATGAAGACTCGTGCCTGCCCGAGCTGATCGGAAGAAATTGGTGTTCGCTATCTTCTTCCAACTTAAGATGGAACCCCAGCCACTTGCGGGTGTCTTGTTTTGAGAGTACCCCCTCCCCCAAAAGGCTGGCGTTCCTTTTGATTTCCCTTTAAAACCACCAACAAAGGGGGACCCTCCGAAAAAAAAACACGCTGGCGAGATTGAAGCCGAGTCCAGCAGCTGCTCAGGTGGCTCCCGGAACATCCGCTTTGATTTGGACAGCAAGACTGTGAGACGTAGGCCATGTGAAAGCAGAAACTGGCTGTTTCTTTTTAATTCAAGGGAGAACCTAAACGGAATCGAACCAAGTTCCAGCTTGCGCCAAAAGATCATCATATGTGGCATTCGGAAGGAACTCTGCTTGTTAGAACTCATTTGGGGTCAGCCGGATTGTCCTGGCAGTTGCCTCGAGCACGCCAAAAAGTGGATTTGCCTGCTATCGGCTTGTCCAGCTTCCAAACAATGGAGACCCGTGAGAAAAATTAGGGGGAGCCCCTTCAAAATGTGTTGGAATTGCTCAGTATTGCTGGGCCAACATGAGATGCCATTTGAAGCTGGTTTCGAATTGCAACTTGATGTGGTGTCGCATCTGAGTTTCCGCTTGAAATCGTATTGCTGGGTCTGAGTTTCCGATTGATTTCGTACTGAATTCGCATTTCATCAACCCATTTTGGTACATTGCAAATGTCAACTGGGAGCTTGAGCAAGGGCCATGGAAGGGCCATACTTCAGTACCCCGCTTATTGAAAAAAGGGGCTGTTGCTCTAATAAGGATCATCTTGGAAGGCTGCTTTAAACAAATCAACTTTAATTAACAGTGAAGCTCGCATGAATTGTGCCAGAAGTGATTGCAATACACATTTTCCGTTTGGCTTAGCATTGCTCTATAATGCTCTAGTCTTGATTTTGCGTGCCCATAACTGGTGCATATCATTCTTGGTCTAGGCAGTTTTCTTGTCAACAATCTGTCCGTGTCCGGGAACAAAAACATCGTTGCAGGGCATTGACCAATCAGAGGTTGACATTATGTGGGTGGCTTGCCCGCTGCTTTCGGATTCTAGCCGAGCTCCTTCGCGGGATGTTTCAAGGGGACATATCGGGGGCCCTGTGATTCAACTTGTGGGAAAAAAACAAAACAAACGATGTGCTGCGCAACAAAAACCAAGCAGTACACTATCTCTTCGGACATCCAGTGGATGACGCCGGGGTCACTGAATTTCCCCTTAAAAAGTTGATCCATTTGCTGAAGCACGTTTGCGGGTTCCAAAAAGGGACTTTCTAAAGCTTACAACTGTCACGGCTGGGGCCCAATGGAATCTTGACAGCCACAGAACATTCATTGAGCCACAGAACATTCTGGGGGTTGGCGTGATTGGGCAACTTGCCGACCAAAAGCCTAAGCCTGAGGTCTCCCCCACATATTCCAGAACTTGATTAACCCCCCCGACAAAAACATTCACTCACTTCCTGAGTGCATGGGCCAAACAAAAGTCCAAACTCTTTGCGTACCAAGAAAATGTTCTTCTCAAAAAGTTTCAAGTGGTCCAGCAGCTCAGGGAGTGAGCTCATAACGATTTCCGCTCAAGACCAAAACGGAACGCGTCCGGTTTCGTCCAGGGCTCGTCCGGCGCTGTGCGAGACGCGCCATGGCAAGTGCGAAGCGCGAAGCGCTCGCTCCTTCTACGTGTGGCAAAACCGCACCAATGTCTCTGGGGTCTCCAAACTTGTTTGTGTCAGTGCCTTTTTGAGCTCTCTTTGAATTTGAATGGAAGCCCGGCAAAAAAGAATCCGTTTTGGGGGGTGGCCTGAGGGGCTGTGCCCCTTGATGCGCACCATCAGCTTGGACTGGTGGCTCAGCTACTGGGATCAGGCTCAACGCCTCGTTCTTGGTTCTTGGGCTCGGCTCGCTCTGCAGCGGGGGTGGTTGCAACCGCAAAAATTCCTCCGAGCCAAGGCTCGCTGCGAATCGAGAAAAAATATTGCGTGGCTGTGGGTCAAAGGTCGCCCCATGGGCTCTCGAGTGATTCGGAGCATGTTCAAATGGCTGTGGGTCAAAAAGCTGGTACTCGAAATGAAACCAACAAAAACGTTCATGGAATCAAGGACTCAAACCCGCGGTCCCCTGATGGCTGAATTTTGACCCATACCCACATCCCGGCTGAAAAGGAACCTCGGCTCAAGGCACCCAAAGTTGCATTGTGCTCTGCGCCTAGTTCGGCAAGACCGGTTGCAAAACATAGCTCGCCCTGGCACGTCAATAACCACAAAACCGAAGCCAGCCGCTCACACTGATTGATTCACCTGGCGATTGATCAACCGGGTGGTTCCCCCAAAAGTGCAGGACAGCCAGTTAATAAAATCAAGGTTATTGTTCGTTGGACAATACATATCTTTTTCCGTTGGCAGCCAAAGCTTTTGGCAATGCAGCGACCTGAGCCTTGAATGGCTTCGAGTTTCGCCAGGACCACAAACGTGGCAAATCCTCTTCAATTGATTCGCCCTTTCGCCAAATCAATGTAAGACAATGCAAGACTGGTCAATTGAAGCCCTCGAGACAGCAATGCTCATGGAGAAAGCTGACCATAAGGCAATAAGGTGTTGGTTAATAAAACCAATAATGAACGGGGAAGTATTTCTAAACCTCGAATCTGCATTGTTGTCTGCATGAAGAAAACAGTCAGCCACATGGAATTCAGCGCATTGCACACCCGAAAGGAAAAATACTACGCCACCGCGTGTCTTTCCATCCTCTCGGAGGAAGATCCCTTTCTCCTAGGCAACGCTGGTTCAGAATAAAATCCCATGAGCAACCAGGGAGCGCGTTTTTTGCGCTGCCGCTGGCCATTTGAGTGTCTTTGTTCAAACGTTCCAATGGAAACCAAACGGAAGCTAGGTCCTCCAGTGGAGAGGATAGAATAAGGGTCGCCTTTTTTCTGTAGTCGACTGTACGGGAACCCTCCCAACCAAAGAAAGGCTAAAAGGGCACTGGGAGACCTAGAAAGTCACGGTCATTCTGTGAATCCCGTAAGACAAACCCATGAGCCCCGCCTGGAACTTGAGAAGGTTTCCATGGGCTGCAGCTGCAGAATCAGCACCTACCCAGAACGAGCTGACCAAAGGCTTTGGATTTACTCGGCGTCCACTGAAAACCCTGAAAATGACTGGTGTCCTTTTTTTGGTTCCCTAACCGTTGGATGCTGTAGATCCCAAGGTAAAAAGCCAAACTTTTTGCAGCTTAAACAAAAATCTGAGGGGTGAGTGACTAACCCAAAAAGAACAGACACAACATACAGAGCCTCAAAGAGCAAACCTTTGAGACCCCGAAAGCGCTTTGGTGTGCCATGGGCTTTGAAGCTGAACATTCGGTGAGCTGAGTCGAGAACTCGTCAGACAAATCACCCTTTCCTTCAAAAGGAGTCTCTCGGTTTGACCCATCTTTGAGGACAACAAATCACTAATAACTAATAACAGTTTAGGAGCCCAGCCCTCCAGGGACCAAGAGACCGCAAGCAACATGCATTTTTCAGGGGGATGATGGAAAGTGCTCCTTGATTGCAAAAAAAAACACCGTGCTTTTCCTTCCCCAGCTGCAAAATTCTATGGGTCTGGGCCCTCCTGGGCTTTCTAAAGGCGATTCCGGGAGAACATGACACAACTTGGCCTCAGTCTAGTGTCTGTCAAACTGGACCCACCAGGGGATCCGGTTGGTTGGTTTCCCTCTAAAACCAGCCCCTAGTATCTTGAACAAATATCGACCCTTCCCCTTTTGGGCCTGAGCCAGTTGTAACCAAACTGAGGCAGCTAAGAGCGGAATCAACAAGCTGGGCGCATGGTGCTTGAAAAATTGGATCTACTCGATGGTTCAACCTACGCAAGATGTGTGGTGCTCAAATCTGGGGTACAAATGAACTGGCTCCGTCACATATTTGGTCAACCTTGAAACACAACATAATACAACATATTTTCGTAGACATCAGGTTCAAGCACCCCCTAGTGACGCGCTTTGAATTGGTGCTTTGGGGATTTGGACCCCTGGTTCGTGTGGAAGGTACATGACAAACTACCTGCAATCCACCAATCCAAACCCCCAATTAGAGGGAAGCTGACAAGTAGAGTGGGAGCTACTGGTCACATTTGCTGTGGTGAAACGACCTTGCCATCAGACTGGGTTTGTCTCAAAAGGATATGGAATTCCCACACAATGGCTGTGTGTGTGCATTTTCCCCCTCTGTCTTCAACCTCAAACACCCACCACTCACAAAATGGGTGTCTCTTTTCTTGGGCGACCTTCCCCCCCCCCCACCACAAAAAAAAGAAAAGAAAAACAGATCCCGCCACCAAAAGAAAAAAAAGACATGGAATGGCTTCGGCGTTTCTCTTGGTCTCCCTTTAAAACTCCACACGAGGGCGCGCGCCTCCCCATCCCCGAGTCCCCCCGACTCAACTCTTCACTCCAAGGCGCCGTCTGCGGCCGCGAGGACTCCAGCAACTCGAAGCTCACCTGGCAGGGAACGAGCCGTGCTGACCTCGCTTGGTCTATCTGAGGGCCTCACTTCTGATGGCCCCAAAAAAGTAAAGCCTCTTTGCATGCTCAAATAGTCCCAACCCAAGTCCATGAACTCAGGCTCACGTGATTGCCCAGTTTGGACCTGGAAACAAAAGGTGATCACCTTTTGGGATTACAGAAAATGGACCAGAAAAGAGAAACCAAAAGCTTGCAAAAGGTCGGCTTTGGGGGTAAAAGGTCGATTCGCTTTGGGCAAGTGAGCTATATGATTAGAGTTAGGCCCAGTCAGAAAATGAATATGAGATTGTTTGCTTCTCTTTGAGTCACTGGCAAAATGCAAGATGTAAGCTAAGTCGAACCGAGCCTGTAAACCATCCAACCGATGTGGCTTCCTTTTTTTCGGGAATCCCCAAAACCAAAACCGGTTGATTCCCAACACCCGGGCTCAGTCATTCCCTGCAGGGCACCAGCAAGTCATTTGGAGGACAGCGAGTTAGGAGTCGTGACTACTTGGACTCGGTTGCTTTCTGCTCTCCTGCTACAAGTGTAACTTTCAGTGGTTTAATGGAAAACCCCCATTAGTTGGCAAAAAGTTAAAGTCCTAACATCCAAGCAAAATGCACCAAAGTGGCTGTTGGATTCACGAGGTTAGTAAGTGGTTCGCCACTGAGGTTGCTACCCTCCAGGATTAACCCCACATGCGGGGTGGGTGACTTATATGTGGCCGACAGCCTATTGACTTGGCCGAACACCCAAGTGTCAGCCCGAAACAAATCAGCTACTTGTCCGCAGAAAGGTCCCGTTAAACAAAGAGGTCATGTCCACCCCCCCTACAAATACATGAAGAATAGGAACACATAGGTTTGCCTCAGAGTGGTAGCCTCATGTGAGGTTCTCTTCCTACATGAGTTCTTGGGATTCCAGGAAAAAACACCCGAAAAGGGCGGCAAATGGTAGCTTGGTGTCCAAGAAGAAACTCCCATTGGCTCTTCAGCCAAGTTGCCCAGCAGGGAGTCGCATGGGTAGAACTTGGCGAATCACAATCAAAAACAACCTCAAAAGTTGCAGTTTATCACCAAGCCAAACCAATCAAGCCCAAACAAAAAGTGAAGCTAATCAACACTTCACCCCCTAAGAAATGAACCTTCATGGGTTATTGGTCACACGCATCCTGAGGTCGGAATCTCATTTGCCCAGGATCGGTGCTTTTCGGGCCTAATTTCAGCGTAGCAGAACAACAGCCAAACACTAGAATAAATGCGGCATCTGCGGAAGGTGGTCTTGAGGCTTGGTGACACACTCATTTGGTGCAACCAACGGACAATTGCAATGCAGGCTCGCACAGGGAGGGCTCCAGGTTAGGTGTTCTTGTCCTTGGCAACGGCTAGTTGCCGAATGTTGCCAGAGTTTGCCAAACATAGCTTCAAACATCAGATCCTAAGGCCGGCTCGTTCAGTCGCAGTCTCCCAAGCAGGACATGGGTTTATGCCGGGTACGTTGGGCAAAGCTCCCTGAGTTGCTGTGAACTTCATCAAGATGAGCTTTGAGTATCTTTGAGTCATGATTGGACCTCGATCCTACCAGACCTTGCAGGTTGCTTTTAAAGGGAAACCAAAAACAAAACCGATGCCGGTTTGGGAATCGGTCCCCCAAAAATAGACACGCCCAACTGGTTGCTCAATACGCGCCCAACTGCGTCCGTCCACCCGTCCGGTCGCCTCATGAAGCAGCACCAAGCGCCCCCCATCGCCCCAGATGTCCCGGGAGATAGGACCCACGTGGCATCTGGCGACGCGCGAAGCGGGTGTCTGTCTCTGTGTGTGTCTGTGTGTGCGGATGTGCATTTGCCTTCCTAGGGACGCTGCATATAATTTAGGTGCGGATTCATGCCCAATGACATTGGAGGTGATTCCATATCCATATTCAAGCAAGCAAGCAAGCAAGCAAGCAAGCAAGCAAGCAAGCAAGCAAGCAAGCAAGCAAGCAAGCAAGCAAGCAAGCAAGCAAGCAAGCAAGTACGTAAGTATAAGTATAAGTATAAGTATAAGTATAAGTATAAGTAAGTGTGTGCGCGCGTGCAGTTCTGCTGCAGGGGAAATTACCCAAAACACACATTGACTTATTGGAAACTGCTACGAAGAAAACAACAGAAGTTGCCTTGGACAGGAGCTCGTCCTGGTCATGGAGTGACCTCTTGGCTTCCCATAGGGTGTAGATCTACTCGGAGTGGGGTACCGGGTACGGGGGTCGTTGGGAAAACTGTGGGGTCTGGAGGGAGACTTGGCAGAACTCCTATTGCAAATGTCTGAAGGGACTTGCAACCACTTGAAGCAAATTCAGAATTCTCCACCCCGAAACCCACCCACCCTCCTCAAGGCGCCGCCCCAGTCCGGCCGCCAGGCTGGAGTGTTCCTGGGAACCAGCTCTGCATCGGCAAGCCATCAAAGCCCCAGGTGGGGGAGGTCTAAAATGGATCCCTTTCGGGTCCTAGATCAAAAACAACTCAAAGGGTTCAAAGTGACTGCTTTTCTGCCCCGGAATCGGTGCGCCAGGCAGACCGCTGTCCTGACGAACGACCAGCTCTGAAAGGCAACAAAAAGATTACCAGCCCATGCTTTCGACAGACCCTTCAGCCCGCCGGGAAACTCAAAAGCGAGGCGTTGGTTTTCAAGCGGCCCGGCTAAAATAGCACATGCAGCCTCCAGGTTGTAGCATAAACACGTGGCAGTGATACCAAGTTGGTTTTCCATCCCGATGCCTACGCCGCTTAAAGCCAAATGTCCACAACCATGTGCCGACTATGTGCCGACTTGAACAATGAACGAAGGTCATCATTTGGCCAGGACAGGTGGCCCCAGCTTCTGCACAAATGAGCCCTCATGGCCGGGAAGCAAAGAACATGGTTGAACTGGTTGGTTGGTTGGTTGGTGGGCGGGTGGGTGGGTGGCTGGGTGGGTGGGTTGGTTGGCTGGTCCTTGGTTGCTTGGTTGCTTGGTTTCTTGCTTTCTTTCTTTGCTTGCTCGTCAAACAAAGTCCTCTGAATATCTAGTCAGGTTCCAATACAATATTCCCACTTAGCAGCCTATAGGGCGCCTGGCTTTTGTGGCAGTTGACTTGTGGCCGAGGTGCAGGAACAGCAGCGCTGTGATGCCGGACTTGTCCTGGCCACAAATTCGAGACAAACTCATCTCCCTCCATCCCCTCGATTTTCAAAGAAACCAGCTACAGGACTAACTACAGGAACTCCAAAAGAGTATCTGGCCCTCCGGTGGACACTTGTGCTGGTTTCTATTGGGTTTCTAGAGGAGAACGTACGGATCCAGCACGTCTGTGCAAAGCCACCAGGCATAGAGTGCATGGGTCTGCACCCATGTGGCTTGCCCTCCAGCAATGCTGAACTCCCGCTATGGACGTACCTTTTCTCAGGCCATGTCCGTCCGGCTTCCCCTTACCAGCTCCAAAGAGGGTACCAAAGAAAGACACACCGTAGGTTTGCTTTCAAGGGATATGACTTTTGGGGGGTTCCCTGTTTCTAGGCAACCGAATATCTGTATCGATGGCAGGCAGCGGGCACCTCGGGGGTGAGAATATGTTTTGATAGAAACTCATTTGTGCTTTGACGTAAAAACAAAAAGTCATATGGGTGTGGCTCAAAATTATGCAGGAGGGGTTACGCAGGTTTTGGTCCATGTTTACACTTTCCAGGGTTCCAATTTGGTACCGGTTGTTTGAGCCACCGCCATATACTTATGTGTGTACATACCCCTCCCCCGATGTGTGAGGCACAAATACGTGTTGCCCAAGGCCTCCTTGCTCTCCTAGGGGCCAGCGTCTGCCATGAACGCTAGCTCTGCAGCGTTGGCTGGTCACTGGTTAGTTTTGAAAGGGAATCAAGACGGAAGATCATGAGTATCCTGCAAGTTCCTCAGCTGCCTGTCGTAGGGTGCTCAAAGAGGAATCCCTGCACCGCCGAACTTCTGCTTCTCATGGCTCTGTGAAACCCTCAGAATGGGAGGCGCTTCGGTGAGAAACCACGAGGCATTCGAGCGGGCTGCCTGCAGCTTTGGCAGAGACTCCGGCACCTGGCAACGTTTCGACGGCTCCGGTGGCGCACGAACATCTGCGATCCAGTCAAAACGAAGTGGACCCGTGCTGGTGTGAAAAGCAAACCCTCAGCTCTCTTGTGTTTGTGGCAAAGGGGAAAGGGCCTTTTATGGATGATGTTAGGTCTTCCTCAATCTCGAGTATCCCTCTGATTAATTGTTGGATACAAGGGGGCACCCGCTTTCACTGAGAAATAGCAACAGCGCTTCGTTGCGCAGTGTTTTCTTTTGGGCTCCAACTGCCACTCACCCTGAATAGGTGTTCAAAACAAGTATACTGTAAATGGTGTCAGCGTAGCGCCTGTTTCTTCTTTTGGACGAGGTACCCACGTGCATACACAGTACATTCATGTATCTACGTATAACACAACATCCCTGTGTATCTATATTAATACATATATATATATATATATATATATCATATACACACATGCGCATACATATTAACATACATATTGATATCCATATGCTTTCCATAATTTGCCCGTGCAACTCCCATTCGTGTTTCCCGGACGCCGTTCCACGCAGCACGCATTTGCGCCACGTGTCCAGAGTACGAGCCGCTTCTCAGACTTGGGACTTCGGCAGCAGTTCAAGCGGGACATGGGTCCCCTTGAGCTTCAGAAAAGTACGGCTGGATCCATCGATCCTACAGTGGGAGGACCCCTAGCCAATGTTTCACTTCGGACAGCTTCTGAAGAAATACGGCGAGCGACAAAAACTTCACGGAACTTGCGCAATTCTCTCACGACACGAAGAGGTTGGTCTGGAACTTGACACTGGACCTTTTGGGATTTCTAAAAGTCTTGCTGGTGCTCAGCAGGGAATCAGGGAATGACCATCCCTTGTAGATTCCTTAAAGGGGGCCACTGGGATCATTCTCACATTTCCTACTGAGCACCACCACTTCAAACAGAGAAGACCAACAGGTCAAAAGTCGATTTGCAACAGAAACTGATAGGTCTCTCTCTACAATGTGGACCCCTCTGACGATCTAGAAAAAGAACTCCGCCTCAGAAGTCGCCGTTCCTGGTTGGCTTTGCCAGAGAACCACCTCAAAGGCGGAGGCACATACAGGCAGAATTGGATGGTTTGTTGGAGGATAACCCATTTTGGAGTTGATTGAAAGGCACAATATCATCCGCTATGGGTATATAGTTCCGGTTGTATTTTTTGCTGGGTTGCATTCGTAGTGCCTTTGTGGGTTGTTTGAAAAGGGGTGCCACCACTTGTCTGCCCAAAAAGGACACGTGAACGGGAAGCTCATTAGCCTTCCTTCTTGTCTGCAAGATCGGATCTGCCAATGGCAAACCCTGCCTACTCTTGCCCACATACCCTTCTACGAGCCAGCAAGTCTGGACGGCTTCTGCTTGGCTGAGTCTTGCTGCTTCCTCTTTTTTCTCCATCTCCTTTGCCCCCCAACAAAGAAGGTCATTGGCAGCAAACGAAGACACGCGCAACAAGAGAAGATTTGTTGCGCCCAAAACACTGGCTGTTTGTCAGCACAAGTCAGGTTCTGTTGAAACTCTGGCAAAGGACCGCTTTAGCAAAGCAACACGAAACCAACCGCTGAAGGGGTGAACAAAAATCATGCGATTCCCATATTAGCTGATCATTCTCCAGGGACGAAAAGAAGATCGCAAGAAACAAACACTTGAGACTGCAGACGTATCCCGCCAGAGCTGGGGACTCAGGGCCCCGGCTTCTCCAGCGGTCCATCCTGGCAAAGGCACGTCCCCGGAAAACGAGTCAACCGTATCGATACGAGGAGTCCACGCACAGCCCCGGGAGGTCGTACTTGCGACCGGCCTGTCCCACTGTCCACCACCGTCCAACTGCTTGGGTTTTGAGTGCGACCCACGTGCATTTACTGGATGTCGAGTCAAAGGGTCTCCCTTCCTGGTGGAAAGTCCATGTGATCGATGCCCTATATGATGCAGAAGGGTCCCAAACGAAGTAGTTGGGAGGCTTCAGCTTTGTTCTGCAGTGGGCAAAAAACTGAATCTTACAACCAAAACACGACAGTCAAGCAGGCCAAGGCAATAGTGGTTGACATGTAAATGTCACGGCCATCCATACATAGATATGTATATATATATATATAAATACCCTCCCACCGACTAACACGCAAGTGCTCCCTGTAGAAAGACTACTTTCCTCTTGGACAGGGGATTTGTCCACATCCATGTTAGTTGGTGTGAGGGGATAAAATATATGTATCATAACAAATGTAAAGGAGGGTATTAATAAGGCCATTGCTAAGTTTCTTCGTTTCCTGTTCTCATAACCCTATTTGGCCAGGGGGTCAAAATCCCGTACCCCCACTAAAATAGACTAAAATGGGTGGTGCACCTACCCCAAACTGGTACCAAAACGGTTTTGACCCACCGCCATTTCTTCCAGCCAGGGTCCCAAACACAAAACAGGCCAACCACCCCACTGACAAGCTCGCGGGCGGCGCTGCGCTGCTTGAAGCCGGATACCTGCCACTGGGTGACTGGGAGCGGTTTTCGGTTTTCAGCGGAGCGGTGTGCGTCTTGTGAACTTTTCAATAGCCGGACCCGAAATCGCGGGAAAACAACGGGGAATTCATGGAGTGGGATTTTGCCCAGTGAAAGAACAAACATGAGGATGTATGTTTTATTTGAAGTGGGATCTTGTTTTGTCATCAACTTTAGGGGGGTCTATTTACGGTGAAGCGGGATGTTTTGTTTCATCAACTCTGTGGGCAGAAAAATAAGAAGAAACAAAAACACGGATGTGCAGAGGTTGTGTCATATTCTTGTAAACCCTGAAATACAATAAGTTTGCAAATGAGGGCTTTATTCCAAAAGCAGCCGTTTTGTGGGGGTTCATGGTTTCCCTGTCAAGTTCATGCGGGTTGCTCGAAACACCATCATCCCGGACAACAGGATCCAGCACAAGCCCATGTCAAATAATCTCTTCCCCCTATTAATGAATGACCCCCATTAATAAAAAATGGAAATCCGGGGCCCGGGACCAGATTTCCACTCCGCACAATTCATTTTCCATTGCGCCAATACTAAACCAATACTAAAGTCGTGGAATCCTTATTAGGGGGCACTTTTAACAAGCTTCCAGCCCCACTTTTAAAAAGGTGGGTTCCTCAAAAGATGAATTCCCTAAAAGGTTGCTTCCCCAAAAGAAAACATGTCCCCAAAAGCTGTCTAGCTGCGACTGTCTCTCTCCCGTACATGCTGGCTAATTAACCTGCCTGGCTGCAAACAAACAACCAGTAAACTGAAAAACAAATAGAATGATACATACAATTTCCTTATTAAACCGCTTACTCGCGGACCTTACAATTCAATCCATTTCCTCCAAATCCTATGTGAACCCTCACATTGTTGGAAAAACAAAAAAACCCAACCCCAAAAACCCCATTTTTTAAAAAAATATATATATATATTTGGAGGATTTATCTATAATAGGGGGGGTGTATTTATTAATAGGGGGAAGATATTATGGCAATCAATTCTAGATGGTGCTTCAAGGAAGCCAATAGCAAATCCCACGTGCTGACCGTGTCCCTGGCAAGCTAGTCGCCCAGCCGTCAAAGGCTCATTGTATATGCCCATATGTGAATGGCCATGTTGGAACCCGGGGCTGGTTTGGCAACAATTAAACCATACCTAGAGATGAACTAACCCATGAATTAGGGGTTCATACAGGGGTAATGTATGGGTTCACTTTCAGCCAAAAACCTGTCGTCCCCGCCTGGGTCTTGGCCTTTTCGTTCCAACAGCTGTCGCTGAAAGAGAAGGGTAGCTGATGAAGCCTTAGACGTCAGAGTCCACTCAACTCGCGAAAGGTCAGTGGGACGGGGATCTAATCAAACGAACGGCGGCGGCAGCGGCAGCAGCGGCGGCAGCGGCGGCAGCAGCGGCAGCGGCGGCAGCAGCAGCAGCAGCAGCAGTAGCAGCAGCAGCAGCGGCAGCATTGTGAAACCAGGTGGTTTTTGGATGTACCCCTTAAAGAGAGGATGTATCTCCAGTCATGAATTCCACCTAAGACCCTCTGTATCCAAGAAATCAGCTAGTTTCAACAGTGATTTCCTGACATTCTTGTGGCTACTGCAAAAACCCTGACAAACCGTTTAGAAACCTACAATCTGCAAACTTAACATGACACAAATTCTGCATCCTCATGGTTCCCCAAAACCTGGTATCAAAATGGCCTAGAATCATGGGAACAATGAACGAGGCGGCTATTCAGGAAAATATTCCTTACCAACCTTGCTGGTGCTCAGCAGGGAGTGAGGGAATGAACCTTGCGGATTCCCGTAAAGGAAACCATAGGGGATGGTTTATAAGTATCATTCCAACTCATTCCCAGCCTATCGCACCAACAAAGTTCATCCCAGGTGTTGAGGACTTTGCTCGTCCCATTCCACCGATTCCATTGCTCCCTTGACTTGGGCCCCGGCACCGCCACTGAGGTAGCGAGGGCTTGGCACCCTGACTCCTGGACCAACTTAGCAACTCGGTTGGGCTCGAAAATGAAATGTTTGCACCGTTTGGGGCACCTAAACCAGTGGAACCCATGCATTTCCAACCAAACTGAAATTAGCCCCAAAAAGGACACCTATGTTTTCTGGCTGTAGATCCCCCAGCAAAACAGTTCAGTTTTTTGCAGATTCCAGCGAAGTATGCGCGGTATCCAAAAAAATAAAGTCTAAAGATCCGATACCCAATAGCAGCAGAGTTTCGGGGCCACTTGCCTGCGGACGGAGAAACCAAAAGGTCAGATCCGACGATTCGCTCTGGGTGAGCAAACAGTGGGAGGTCACCCGTAGGTTTTGGTCTGAGGAGATTTTGCCACTCATGTAGTCCCCCGCAGTAAAAATCGGCCAGGAACACGGGCAGCGAGTTTGTTGAGAGTTGGTAAACCCCAGGATATTGAGTAGGCAGAGCAGCAAACCAAAATAGTGATCAGGGTTTGCTAAGCTCGCAAGTTTTTCAGCTTTGCATTTAAGATACCTGTTGCTTTGCCCGTCATGGAGGTCGCAAACCGGTCCGGGCGATGGTCCCAAACTTTTTTTGCAGGCAAACTGGGCAGGGAGCAAATTCCCCCGCCCCCCCAAAGGTCATTAGGACCTTCTAAGGTCCTAATAGACGGGTTTTGGAACCTTCCTGGGTTGCATGGGCGGGATTGCGATTCGGTCCCCTTTTGCATATGCGGGCTCACTCACGCTCAGAGACTCGAAGCTCGAGGTGCGCTGTTGGAAAAAAATCGGAACCCCCAGGCTGAAACCTGACGCCATTCATGTAACCCATTTATTCTTATCAAACTGACATAAACAAGAACATATCATTGTGCATATTTCTGAACTATTCCAAACCTGAAGTCCAAAGAAGCTCCAATTACAAAACTTGAAAAATATGGGTGTATCTCTTTTTAGGGGACCCCACCAAAAAGGTGAGTTTCCTTTTCCCTTTTGCAAGCATCCGAAAGCATCCCATTTCGTTGGGCAGCCTCAAAAACAGGGGGAGACCCATATCTCGCTGGGCCGGGCGTCGCTGGAGACAAACCCCGATCCCATCCCCCAATTTCTCTCACTCCTCGAGGTGTGATGAACAGAGCTCCAGCCAGCCTGGCGAGCGCGAGTGGAATCCTTCCCTCTCCACCCCCAAAGCCATAGCAGAGACCCCGCAGCTTTCAGCTGAGGAAAATGATTCGTTCAAACTTGGATCCCAGTCGACTCAAACAAAGACAGAAAAGAAACGACAACCGTGCAACAGTTGAAGGTTTGGTCTTGGACAAAAGGCCGGAAGCAACTCAATACGGTCCACGGCATGGCCTTGGTCTTTTTGTTCTGCCTTCTTTCCAGATATATACATGAAAGAAGTTCTTTGGAATCCCTTTAAAGCCACCAAAACAAGGGGGAGCCTCAAAAATGACATGTTTATGACGCCAACGTGGTTTGTAGTTGGGGCAAGCAGGCCGGTGCTCACGGGCAGAACGGCTTGTCACGGGGCTCTCCTGCGGCTTGTGCAGAGACCACCGGCAAACACCGCGGAACATGCCGTGCAATATGTAATCTTCACAACCGTTGGTATGATAGCAAAGCCCCTACTAAGAATGAACAGAATAACAAACAACAACTTGCCAAGCACAGTGAAGTAATGTTGACCACAAATTCATAAACCCTTGGCTAATTAGGGTTTGTGTTCCCCATCGAATGGGGGTGTCACTCTTACCAGAATTGTTGGAGGGACTCCAGAACACTCCACATGGGCCAAGTGCCCTGCATGACATCTTTGGGGCTGAAGGGTGAAGGTGGGGTGCTTTTCAAGATCAGAACTCCATATTGTCTGGTGAATAAAAGGAACACCAACAGGAAACCAACTAGTTTCAAGGGTCCCCGGCTTTTGGAGAACTTGCTCGCCCTACAGTGGATGGACGAAATCCTGCACCACTTTGAAACCATGAGAAGCCATTGTTTGTTGGTACTCACAGGGGAAGTCATCATTCCAGGCTTTCTTAGCAGCATTTGTGTGCCATACAGGAAGCATCGCCAACGGGAAGTGAGCCACAAGCATGTCTTCTTGTTTGAATTCCTGAGTGGATTGGCCAAATCACCTGGTTGCTTGCCAAGATTCGCTCTTCCCAAAAATCAAGGCAAAGCACCAAGTCCAGGAACCCAGCATCAACCGCTTGGAAAGCAGAAAGGACGAAGTTGGGACCTCTCTGTCCCCTTCCCCGAACCCCACACGCAAACCTGCAAAAGACCTGGTCCGTGCAGAAGGCAAGTTGTACCGTTGGTTTTCCCTTGACCTCAGAAAAGACGTTCCCCCTCAACAAAAAACACACACACCCGCGCCATTTTGGAGCCTGGTTGCAAGGGAAACCAAAGGCACGCCGTCACTAGTTGCACATCCCTCTTTTGACACATACCCTTTTTGTCGGTATTTTTCGGGGAAAACCACACATGGCAACACCCGCCTTGTTTTGGAGCTGGTACCTCCTAAAGGAAAACCCACCATTTCGGGGGGGGGGTCCAATCTTAAAAAGACGAGGCACCCAACTGTTTCCGGGCGCCCGGGCCTCGAAAAGCCGAGCCACCTGAGGCTCGATTCCAATCGAGCCCTATCCATCTCTGACTTCCGATCGTGCGGTCCACATGTCTTTCTTGAGAGGTGCAACAACTCATATATTTGCAGATGCTTCATACTGTCTGAAGTATGAAGTATTGTTGAAGGCCGGTTGTGATGGCTCCTGCATGGTGTGTGTTTTTCGTTCTTGGCGTTTGCTGCCATTGCCCATTGCCTATTGGCATTGCCTTTGTCTATCACTTCCATGTTGGCAAATAGCACATCTCAAGATAGACTGTAGCCCAGGGTTCTGGGCTGGAAAAGCGAGGTGCAGAGCTAATCGATCATGCTTGCTCGTCCGTACTTGGGGGGGGGGTCTAGGGAACCACAACCCCACCAAGTGTGGCTTACCAGAAGGTGTTAGGAAAAACTTGCATGTGCGATGCAAGGCAGGAAATGAGTTGGAATGACCCTTATAAACCATCCAAGTGGTGGTTTCCTGCAACGGGACCCCTGAGTTCAGTCTCATTTCCTGCTGAGCGCCAGCAAGAAAAGACAAAGACTCCACACACACACGCAGACACATAAAGACATACAGAGAAACACGGAGACACACGGAGACACACAGAGAGACACACAGAGACACACAAAGACACACAGAGACACACAGACACACAGAGACACACAGAGACACGCAGAGACACACAGAGACACACACAGAGACACACAGAGAAACACAGAAACACAGAGAGCCACAGTGACACGCAGAGACACACAGAGACACACACACAGAGACACACACACACAGAGACACGCAGAGACACACAGAGACACACAGAGACACAGAGACACACAGAGAAACACAGAGAAACACAGAGAGCCACAGTGACACGCAGAGACACACAAAGACACACACACACACAGAGACACGCAGAGACACACATACACACGCAGAGACACAAAAACACACAAAGACACACAGAGACACACAGACACACAGAAACACACAGAGACACAGAGATACACACAGAGACAAACAGAGACACACAGAGACACACAGAGACACACAGAGACACACAGAGACACGCAGAGACACACACACACAGAGACACACAGACACACAGACACACAGAGACACAGAGAGACACAGAGAGACACAGAGAGACACAGAGAGACACAGAGAGACACACAGAGACACACAGAGACACAAGAATCACACAGAGACACGCAGAGACACGCAGAGACACACAGAGACACGCAGAGACACGCAGAGACACACAGAGACACACAGAGACACACAAAGAAACAGCGAGACACACAGAGACACACAGAGACACAGCGAGACACACAGAGACACACAGAGACACACACACACACAGAGACACACAGAATCACACAGAGACACGCAGAGACACACAGAGACACACAAAGACACAGCGAGACACACAGAGACACACAGAGACACAGCGAGACACACAGAGACACACAGAGACACAGCGAGACACACAGAGACACACAGAGACACACACACACACAGAGACACACAGAATCACACAGAGACACGCAGAGACACAGCGAGACACACAGAGACACACAGAGACACACACACACACAGAGACACACAGAATCACACAGAGACACGCAGAGACACACAGAGACACACAAAGACACAGCGAGACACACAGAGACACACAGAGACACAGCGAGACACACAGAGACACACAGAGACACACACACACACACGCACAGACACACACACAGATACACACACAGATACACACACACAGAAACACACACCACAGACCCATACACACACACTGACACGCACACACAAACACACACCACAGACCCACACACACACTGACACACACACACACAAACACGCCCAGACACACAGACACACAAACACACACACACACACAGACACACTTGGAAAACCTTTTCCTGATCCCGTTGATTTGCCTGTTAATGTAGCCTTTACTGGGCGTATGGAGCCCTGACACGACGCGTGAACGAGCCATGCCCTGATTGATTGAGACCCCCAGTTGAAATCGAGGGGACGGCTGTTCTTCGTGCTTGGCGAGTTCCTTTTGATCAAGAGCTGCCCCAGGTTCTTTTCTAGGATTTGCTACAGGAGATGTCTTGGTGGTTGCAGTTAGGGGGGGGGGTTTGGAGCATTCGATGGGTAGAGAGCGAGAGAAGGATTCTTTTTTTCTCAAAATTAGCCTTTCAAACTTGTGAAGGAATGCCTGGAAGAGGAAGGGCGACTTAAGATGTGTCCCCCTGGAAAACTAACAATCTCTCCGCTAGTGATGGATTCCCTTGAAAACCAACAAGGGAAAATCAATACAATACTAAGCATATGGAAGGTTGCCATGGTTCTAAAGCTTTGGTTCCGAGTAACCCGAGACCAACGTTTGTGGGTGAGGGTTGATTCCCCAGTCACCAGCCTTCCAGTCCAAGAACCGCCCTATGCTCGCGTCAGAGGATCCCTGAAGTCCATATCCCACCCATTTTCTGATAATCTCTGAAACAGAAAGGTAGGGCCAAAACCAGGACTGGGCTTGTGGGGTACTGTAAAACAACTTTGGGTATATGTGAGAATACCGAGGAAGTGCGTGTCAGTATTCAGACCCTTGGGGCTAGACAAGTTAGTCTCCCAAACAAACCGGCACCGACCCCATGTTTTTTGGGACCCGAATGCACCTCTGCTTGCAGCTTCACCAAGATTGCCCAGTCCACCGCGTCCTCGCTCGCATGCGAATGGATTCCTAAATTGGGGACATCCCTTTTTCAGGTACCATCCTGTCCATGCCATGGAACCCAGAGAAATGGCCCCAGCTCAAAGGAACATTGTCTTCCGAACGCAGAAGGCCGAAACGTCAGGTTCCACGTTAGGATTGGATATGAACCCTGTACAGGGATGGGAAAGCAACCCTAACCTCTAGACCACCAATCTAAACCAACAACTAGAGTGAAGCTGACTTTTGGGATGGATGGTGTTTGAAGGGAAACCAACAGGACATCAACAGGAAACCCATCGGTCAGGCTATCCACCTGGGACCTAGGGATGTCCTTGGGATGCCCATACTACAAGGGGACCCCCCTCCTCTTTTTCCCTGAATTTGCCTTTGTTTTGGGGTGTGGTCGGTTGGTCTACTTGCAACGAGGCATGCACCAAACCTGGCTTCCTGCCCAGCTGTTGAAGTTGGCTTGAAGCGAAAGCCAAAACCGCAAATGAAATGGTCGAAACCAACTGTTTGCTACGGTATTTACAGGAGGGATCAAATCATTCCAGGGTTTCTGATCGGTGGTGCGAAATGAATTTCGTGCGTCCACAGTAGTTCAACACGTACAGAGATTCTGTGCAAAGCCATTTTCTGGACTTGGGCTCTGTGGCGGCTTATGTACCGTCCCTGTGACAGCTTTGATCGTTTGATGCCCCGGGCTCTGGATTGGACCTAGTCCATAGAAACTTGGCACTAAAAGGAAAACAGCAGGCCGATGTCGCGCCGTAGCCAAGCGCAAGGCCCCGCGCCAAGGAAACGTGCTGAAGGGGGTCCTTTTTGTTCAACCTTTTCGGGGGAAGGGATGCGGTCCCAGATCTTTTCTTTTGGGCCGGACTTGGGCCCAAACAGTGAGCCTTTGGCCTGAAAGAAAAATTGCAGAAAAACCAAACCGAAAACGTTTTCCAGGCCAAACCCGGCGCTTTCCCACGCTGGCGGGGTTTGTGCAACACCCAAACTGAACATGGGTATGAAACACCCCTAGTTTGCTTCTCTTTTCATTAAACACCATGAACAATTTGAAGGGTGCCTCAAATGGATCCTTTCTCAGCAAGAGACTCTTAAATCTCTTTGGACGTGTCAGCTCGTCTCCTCCACAATGGCCAGACCACCCTGCGCGAATCAAGCGAACCATCCGGGGGGTTCCTCGCAAACAAATCAGCAACTGGAACAGTATCTCTTTTACAGCTTTCTCACCCTGAACCTGGCTGACTTCCGATTTTCCATTTTAAAACCATGCAGTTGAAATAAATATACTGTGAGTTCACCGGGTAGAAGAACATGCACATCGCACTTGGGATCATGAAGGCACAAAGTCAGCGAAGACGCATGAGCGGCGTCTGACGGTAGGACTGACCCTTGGCTTTCACCGCTCAGAAAGCATCGTGCAGTGTTGCAAAGACCCCCGATGTAATACGTATGAGGGTTCACAGCACATCTTTCTTTTTGGCAAGTCTACATCCGAAGCACTCACGGAACACCATCTCCACCTGACTGTTGCTTTCAATTTGAGGCTCCTAAAGCAGGATTCCTGTCGCCTTTGCTCCCGCCTGCAACATTGGCTCCATCGATATACATCGCAGAACATTGGGTTCCCAGCTGACGCAGGACGTAGTTATTTAGTTTATTATTCGCTTTTAAACACGACAACCTCGGAATTTTCCGCGTTGCTCTTGGCTCATTCTAAAAGGAACGTCCCAGCAACAAATCACTGCAAACCAGCAGAACCCATTGGATTGCCCCAAGTGATTTTTGATTTCGAAGGAAGCCTTTGTTGGCGCGGACAACAACAAGAACAAATAGCTACTGTGAGGCCATTTGCAACTGGTTGAAGTCGTCCCATTTTTTTTGTTTGGGCAAGAACCCTTTCTTTGGGGTTGTTGTTCAAGGGAAACCAGCAAGAACAAGCCAATGGGAATATTTCGATGATGTCGACCCTTCAATTCATGGATCCCCACCATGGCTTTTCCTCTTCGTTTCCCTTTAACCCGCCGGCAAACACGGCTGGTACCAACCAAACGCCTCAAACGAGCCGCTCGCGCCTCCCGGAAGTCCCTGCGGAACGCTTTGGCGCCGGGGCCGGTGAACAAGGTCCTGCAGAGGAAAATTTGGGGGGGGAGGGGAGGGGGGGGGGGTTTTCCTGGGGGAAAGCTCGGGGGGAGGGGGGGGGTGAAGCCGGGTCTCTCTTTTCGAGCTGACTCCCCTTCCCCCCCCTTCTTTGGTGGTGTTGGGGAAATCAAAAGGAAAAACCGAAGCCGAATTTATGTTTGGGGGTCAGCCCAAATGGATTCGGGGTTCCTTTTGGTTCTCCTTTATTCACCCCGAAGAGGGGTGCACTCAAATACTTGGACCGTCAAGCTACCCAACAAAAAGAAGGCATTGTAACCCACAAAGAAAGGGGGTGAGTTGCAACCGAACTCACGCATTGAGGGCAGTTTGACGGAACGGTAGAACCCCTTGGTCAAGGTATCAGGTGGCTAATTACTCGACTTCCATCCTGCCCACTCGCATGACATGACCTTTGTGTGCCAAAGGGAACGCCTGTTCGTGGACGCTTATTGCCCTTCTTCCTAGGTTGCCAGTCAATCTGCAAATTGCCGCGTGGTTTCTGGCTGTGGAACCGAAACCTTTGGGAAACCAAAGGAACAGAAGGGCTTCCGAAACCCACGCAGCCCGGGAGACCTCCAGTGGCCCTCCAGACTCACACGGCGAAACCGGCAAGTCTGGAAGGTTGTGTTGGATAAGATACAAGAGGGCACCTACCCGGATAGAGTAAAGTAACAACCCCCCCCGCCCCGCCCCCGCCCTTTGACATTCCTGGGGAAAATGGTGGCTCATCCAAACTCCTGCATTGGAAACTCATCAGCTTCTCTCGTGGTTTGGACTGGCTTGGTTTCTGATTCCTCTACAAGAGCTAGAGGCTCCAATCCCAAAACCAAGTCGCCCGTGTTTGTGGTTGGGATTCAAGGGGCACTCTCCCAGGACGCTGGGCCTTTTGGTTTTGTTAAAATCAAAAGATCCAACCAAATATCCGCAAAGTGTTGGCTGGTGTTTCCAGGGCCCTGCGCGCCCTTAAAAAACAACCACAAACAACGCCCTGGGTAGTATCCCCAGCAGCAATCTGCATGGCTTTCAGGTCTTGGGAAGCCAACAAGACACCATCCACTCTTGGTGTCCAACTCCCTATTCTCACAGGCACCCATACAAGGGCGGGGGGGGGGGGGGCGTCTGTTTTTGGGGGATGGTACCCTTTTTGGGGGTGGGCTTAAAGGGAACGCCAACCGAGACACCGCCACCTTTTTTTTTTTTTGGGGGGGGGGGGGCGGCAAAACTGGGTCCCCTCAAAACAGACACCGCCACAATAAGCTGGGCTCAGGCGCAGGTCCTGGCAGCCTCCTCCGCATATCTCCTGGCCAGCGGGGTGGGCTGGGGGTTTTCCACTTTCCCACGTTCCAATGAGCCCCACGTCTGTCATGTCGTTGAGGCAGCCTATCTAAACTTACCCTCAAGGAACGCCAAAGGGGCTCTCTACTTTTGGACATCCTTGAGACTTGGCCCGACTTCCTCCGCAAAAAGTCCACCTTCTGGATCCGACGGCCAAAACGGAAATCCCCACCCCGTCGCCGAAATCGCAGGGAAACCGCCTGCCTCACCCAACGCCGGGCCAGCGCGTCACAGCGCCGCCGGGTGGCGGGCAACTGCCGAGAAGGGGGACGATGGAGAGGGGTAGAAGGGCGGGGGGGGAAGAGTGTGCTTAACATAGGGGGGTGGGGGGGTCCCCAAACGCTTGTTGGCTTTTCTGGGGCTCTTCTTCCCAATTGTCCTTGTTTAGGCCAGATTGCCTGTCTGGGAATTGTCCTTTCTTGCACCACTGTGGATGGGCTTTAACAAGGAAACGCGACAGAACCAGACCATCCATCCATTCATTCAGGTTACCTCCTAGCCTCCTTTGTAGGACACTCTGCAGCGCCAGCTTTTGAACAGCGATCCAACGGGTTGTGACACGCCTCTGTCCAGCCGGACAAAAACCCGACGGAAGCAGCTCTGGTGCACAAAGCCAACTATTGGATTCTGATGTCGCTCAGCAGCTGCTTATGTCATCCCGAGCTCAAAGCTATTGCTGAGCTGTCTTGTTGCACTTTGGAATGGTCTACAACAGGCCGTTCCGTTTCACCAAGCTTCAAGTCTGCAAGCTCAACAAGTTAAGCACTACTGCCGGAGTCAACATCGTTGGGAATCGCTGAAGGAGCAACGCCCCGCAAGATCGAGTCAAGACCAGCCTTGTGATTGCGATTATTCAAGGTTATAGAATACGCTCTCTGTCGTTTGTCTCAGTTCCAAGTTTTTGCCACGTCAACACCAATACATTTCTGCTAACTCGAGGCCAGAAAATGCATTGCTCACGCCTGTTCCTGGAACCTGTGCTCCAGAAGCCGACACATGATGGTAAGAACACCACGCATCCCACCAGAACAGCAGATTTAGCACAACACCACCACCACCGCCGCCGCCACCACCACCACCACCACCATCACCGCTGCCACCTTGTGGATTCACAGGTCGCCAAATGGCTAAGGCCAATGAATTTGATCGGCTTTAAAGCTTCCTTTTGGCTTCCATTCTTCTAGGGGTTGATTCCAAATTATTTTCAACCATCCTTATTTCCCAAAACCGGCCGTTTTCCCTCGGTTTTCGGAGGTTTTTCTAGAAAGAAGGATCCCTGGAAAGAATGGGGAAGGTACCCCTATTCTGAATGCCATGCACATTTGGAAGATTCTTCTGCTGCTTCAGGCCAGTGGCAAGCCCTGGGAGGTATCCCGAGAAGGCTTTGGGCATCGCAGGGCCAAGTGTGAGCTTGCCACTCCAAAAGCAGGGCTTCTCTGGCGGGTTTTATGGCGGCGTCGCTTTTTGGTGCGTGCCCAAAGGAAACACTTCAGTGGTTTTCCGGGGTTGAATCCCAAGGAGGAATCGACAATTCCGCCCCAGGGTAGATGAATATAGCTGCACCCTGCGCTGCAAATGGCTTGGCTTCAAGCAGGGATCCGTACAGGTGGCACCACATCCGTACTATACCTTTCTCACCAATAGGCAACACTTAGTTAGACATATCCTGATAAATGGAAATTTGGGACCCTCGAATCCACCTCAGCTTCTTCTCCTAGCCAACAACATAAAAATGATAGGTTTGCTAAAAACTGGAAGCCAGTGCTAAATGGAGGATTGTCTCATTATGACACGAGGCCTCTTCTGGCGTCCCACCCATTCTGCAACCACCTGCTCTAGGAGTGGGCGTAAGACCTCCCAAGCACATAACCTCGTCAATTGCCATGGATCTGTGTTTCAAGAGGTGCGGCACAAAATGGTTGGTTTCCATTGGTTGCCCTTTGAACACAACATGATACCAATCCTGGTGCTGAAATGAAAACCCTGCCTTCAAGCTGAAAAGCGCACTCACTTCCTGGGCCAAAAAACAGTCCAAACCTTTTACCACTAAACTGGTCTTGCCCAAAAAAGTGACTAAAAGCGACACAAGTCCAGAAACTCGGGAATTGTTGCGGGGGAAAAAAGGGAAAAAGCAACTGAGCTCCAAAGAATCGGACGTCCACCACTTGCCTGGGCATCGGCATGAAACACGTCGGGCCTCGATGTCGACGAGCTCCTCGCCAACTTTGCGGCGAGCCTGGCGACTGGCGACCGGCGATGGCGAGGTTCACGTCCCCCATGTTCCACCACCCCAAAGCGGTGGGTTGAAAGTCACATTTCCTCCCTGGTTCTTAGGGGATAAGTGGCGACAGGAATGAAGCCAAAAAACACATCCCCTGTGGCTTCTGTTTCAGGGAATCCTTAGGTTCATTCTCAACACCAAACATTTTGCTGAAACGCCGAGTCATGTTTGGACACCGATGCCTCTGAACAATTACTGTAGAATAAAAACATGCTGGACCCTTTGATCAGCACAAGTTGCAACCCTAAAAAGACAAGCGTCAGACACGGAACCTTCAAGTAGGGGACATCACGCGGCCCAAGATCATGTTGACTGGTTGTGTTTGCTGTAAATTAGGAAGATCACAAAATCTTTCAACTTTCCCTACAGGAGGAAATACACTTCACATGGACTCAACAAAGGGACGGCCTCTCAAACGACTGCGCCAGCCATCTCTCAGAGGGAACTGGAGCGCAGAGACTGCAAACTGAGCTGAGGACATCAACTTGGATCTACCTCGGGGGTTCGTTAAAGGGAAGCCATTTTGGGGGAAGACCGAATCCTGTTTGCGTCCCGGTCCAAATCCTATTTCAAGACAAACTGACTTGCAACCGGGTTTCCCGAAGCGGTTGGAACCCGCCGCCCGGTCTAAGGCCCAAGCCCAATGCCCTCCGGGAACCAACCCAAACCGAGTGGTTTTGCAAACAAACACTGACGTTTTTTGTGCACCAAACAAAAAACGCATGTTAAAAAAATGCGAGCAGGCCGCTGCAAAACTGGACCTTTTTATTATGCGGTCGGGAGAGGGTGCCCGACGGTGGCCCCAAGATATTGCAAAACGCTTTCCACAAATCATGGAATTACAGGAGTTCCTTGTTCCCTGCAACATTTAGGGCAACCGTAACGAGGGTGTAATGCCCAGCATTTCAAAGCACGTCTCTTGCTATCTATCTTGCAATCCAGAGAGGCGTCGTATTCTTCCGTCTCACCATGTCGTGATGGGTATGGTTCCTGCGGGTCCCTTTATAAAATGGGGGGGGGAAGAACTTGGAAATCCACCCAGACGCCCTTTTTTGTAGGCGATGCCTGGGCGAAGAGCGTGTAAAAGTCCTGGTCCGGGACCCACTTCAGATCGCGTGGATTGACAACATGTCTGACCCTTACCACAAACACTCACTTCCGATCGAGTGGATGGCCCAAAATATAGTAACCACACGTGTTTTTTGCTACTAAAATGGTCTTCCTAGAAAATGACTAAAGTCCGAAACGGAGCTCAGGTGAGAATATGGTCCACAAGGTGAGGCCCTAAAACTCAGGAAATGAGTTGATCCACAAGCAAAGAATCAAGCAGCCTTTGTGGGGGCCTCATTTTCCATTTAGCACACAATTGTTGTTTCCCTTCGCTTCCCTTTTTAACACCACCCAGAAGGGGTCACCCAAACTTGGGACTTCCGCACATGTCCGCAGGCAGTCGCATCGTAGTATGCGTCCTCATTTTCTGACTGAGACGGCTTCGCCCTGCAGATGGCTTGAACATATTGGCTATTCTGATTTGGGGTCTACCTCAGGGCCTTGCAGCAATCCGTCTTTGAAGTAGGTGTAAACAGTTTTGTGACCCACTCTCTGATACTGCGCAGCCGCTGGGCAGGGTGAACCCACCTAGGGTACCTGGATTTTTGCCGGGGGTCTCTTTAATCTCCAACAAACAACTCACGGTGTGCTGTGCAGGTGTTTGCGTGTTTTCCCTCTACAAGAACCAGGGCGCCAAATCCCACTGAAAATTCTCACGCAGAGCTGGGGCGTTCCATGCCTCGCATGAAAAAACAAACGCTACACAAGACCAAATACAAGGTCGACACGCCAACAAGCAAATAAAGAACGAAACAAAGAACAAAAGAAAGAAAGAAAGAAAGAAAGAAAGAAAGAAAGAAAGAAAGAAATAAATACAGAAAGAAAGACAGAAATCATGACAAAAGAGAAAGAAAGAAATAAAAACAGCACAACAAACAAAGGAAGCCAAACACCAGGGATGCTTCCAACTTCCAGCTCGAGGCCGCTGGGCCTTCCCGGTAGGTCAAAGTGACCAAGGTGAATCAAAGGATGGTGGAAGACTTTTGGTGATTGTTCTGAGTATCGAAGTGAATTAAAACGTGTCCTTTTTGTTGAGGTCTTTTTAGATGAAATGGGACATTAAAAGCACATCGCCCATTCTCGGGCGCCACTTGTGCGGCTCGGACAAAATAGCCAAAGCCACATGGGGTTGTCGTGATTGGATAGTTTCAAAGGGAAGCCAAGAGGAAACCCACACATCTTGGGGGTGCCCCTGTGTTAAGACACACCCACATAGAAATAAACATAACTCCCGCCAAGAAACATCACTAAAACCCGCAGAGGATATGGCACCGATGCAAGCTCCCTCCGTCCTCGCCGGGAAGGCCTTCTCCTTCTCGCTCTTGTTGCGTCCTGAAGGAGTCGGCCAAAGTGAAGACTTTTCTCCTTTGGGCGTGTCTTCTTTCAGGGGACCTACGGGAACTCCCCAAGTTGATACTCCCCAAGTTGATGGCTTTCCTTTTGGGTTTCCCTTTTAAACCACCCAAAAAGGGCACAGCCACACGTTTCTCATGTGACTTGGTCGAACAGCGTGACGGTCACCGTCTTTGAAGGAAGCGAGCCGCTGGTTCGGCATTCAGCTCTTTAGGCTTTGCTTGGTGCCCGTGTAGGCCGGGCTTCAAATGGGAGGTCACAGATAGGTTGACCACCCAAAATCGCAGCCTGGCAAATGGAACGCACTAAATCACTAAAACCTGCGGTGGTCGTTTGCGGCCCAAAGGACGGGCAGGACATGCGCCCGGTCCAAACGTGGCGCCCGAAACCGGATCCACGTCCAACTCGGACCCATCAGTTCGGAGTCGCTCACTGAATTGACCCCAGAAAACGCCGGCCAGCCCTGGAGGAGAGCAAACATCAGCCCAACAGCTTCAAGTTCCCATGGCTTTTAAAGGGGGGGGGGTGGCAAGAATCATCCCAAACGCTTCAAGAAGGTAAAGGCCCGAATCCTGTCAGGCCCGCCAGTGTCCTTGCCAGGTGCCGCAGCAGCTCGTGAAGCCTTAGGTTTGGGGTGCCCAGGTTGCACACATATCCCGACTCTCTTTGGAAAAGAAACGGCTTTTGAAAACGAAAGTGAATGGAAAACGACCCCAACAAGGAACAAAATGCTTTTGGAAAAAGAAAGTGAATGGAAACTGACCCCAACAGCTACTTAAAGCTAGGCATGCCCTCTTTCCAGACACAGCCAAATTGGAGTCCAACGCATACAGCACTGTTGTTGGGCCCGTTTCGGTGCTCGAAGGCATGTTGAGCCGCCCAAGGCTTAAGGGAACCAGGGCTGACCCTCGGGCGAAGACGTTTTTGGCCGTACACATGGCTCACGCGCTGTGGAGGTTCCCGATTCTTAGCTTGTTACCTTGTAAGTCTTATCGCATATCATTGCTGTGCAAGCCTAGGCTTCTTGCTAAAATCATATGCCTTTCCGCCGCACAACGAAGAGTGACATCGATGGCTTTCCAAACTGGGGGTGGCAATATAAGAAATTGCCCATTTCTGTTGGCTTCCTTTGGGAGATACCAAACTCCGGGTAGGCACATAAGCCGCTGACACAATCACTTGCTTCTCGGAAATGGAAAAATGCGGCCCGCCGCCTTGAATTTTGTGAGGAATTGGTTGCCCCCTTAACTCTGCCCAAGATCAACAATAGACTCCCCAACAAAACAACTTGACTCACATGAAGGTGTCTGTGGCCGCAATTCTTTGCATGGCTCCCGCCATGATCACTTGGGGAAGCCATGCCCTTTAGTCTTTGGCTTGGGGGATGGTGCAAACCCAATCAAAAGACCCCCATTCCAATGGAAGTGCTACCACATTTCAAAAGAGGCGAAACAATTACACCTACACACATTTAAATATCATATAGTGCGTCAATTGTCTTCGAAACGTAGATTGGCTTTATAGTACCCCACAACCCCATTTCAAATAACATTCGCACGGTATTTGCAACGCTGTCCTTTTCCAACAGCTGGCATGTGTGGTGATTCGCGATCGTGTGTGTGTGTGTGTGTGTGTGTGTGTGTGTCTGTGTGTGTGTGTGTGCGCGTGAGGAAATCCAAAATCTTCTGAATTGCAAATAATCACCTGGGATGAATTTACCGGTTACCCAGTCATAGGGTCTTCCCTCCAATGGTCTGAGTCTCCATCTTAATTGGTGCGGACACCTTCCTACTGACTATGGATGAACGAAGTCTTGTACCACTGTTCAGAAAACCTATCATGATCGATTCCCCTGTAAATACTAACAAACAATGGTTTCAACCATGGTTTCAAAGTGGTGCGGACTGGATTTCTTTCATCCACAGTATTAATCAATGGGGGTCCTGGAAGATGATTGTCCTGGAGGACCCCCAAACGTCAGGTCCCATGAGGTGCTTTGATGCGTTGCCCCCAAAAAAGCCTTCGGAGGGTAAGTGGACCCTTCGGGGAAGCAGCGAGAAAGGGACCGGGTCCCGAGCGTCAGGTGCCATGTTTTTTTCGGGAGGGATCCGGAGTTCGCCATCCTTCTTGAAAGGGCTGGCCAAGAAGGTCCCTCAACTTTTAAATTGACCACCAAAATGGTCCAAACCCGTCAGGTGCCAACTTTTTGGGTTTGGACCATTTTGGTGGTCAATTTAAAAGTTGAGGGACCTTCTTGGCCAGCCCTTTCAAGAAGGATGGCGAACTCCGGATCCCTCCCGAAAAAAAACATGGCACCTGACGCTCGGGACCCGGTCCCTTTCTCGCTGCAATAAAGTCCAGGAACTCGTGAAGCGAGTAGCTCAAAGGTCCCCTTCCCCCTTCGGAAGTCGACTTCGACTTCGATTCGCCGCGCCGCTTCTTGGAGGCGGCGCTGAGCAAATCGCTGGCATCCGCCAGCTCGCAGGACCAGGCCTGCGGAGAATCGACGCGGATTGGCCGAAGATCTCTGAGCGCATCACTTCAAGGTCCTCCAGTAGAGAGGACCTAGAAGAAGGGTACCCACTTTTTTTTGGTGGTCTATTTTAGCAGGAACCCTCCCCCCAAAAAAGAAACGGTAAAAGGGCACTACTGTAAAAAAAGACTTTGAGAAAGCATGGGAATGAAACCAGGGATAACACCAAGGTTTGTTTCTTACGGTATTTTCGTTGGGGAATCCAAGCACCGCTTTGAAACCATGGCTGAAGACACGGTCGAATGATACCATAAGTTATGTTCTTACGTTATGTTCTTTGGGGAATCGAATCAACATTCCAGGTGTTCTGCACGGAGCGAAGTGGAATGATGGGGTTCCGTAGCAAACGGAATCCAACCGATTCCAAACCAGTGGAACCCATCTATATCTACGCAAACTAAGCTAAAATGGACACATATGATCCAAGTGCAGACCATAGTTGAACGAAGTAGGTCAACCGTTGCGACCTTGACCAATTACCAACAAGGCAAAACCAACAGGTTGAGTTCCGTTTGCTTAAGTCCCTTGGAAAACAACAATATGTGCAGTAGTAATAGATTGCCTAACAAAGCAAGGGGAAAATAGCAACAATTGTTTAGCAAATGGAAGCTAGCTCCCCAACAAAGCATGCTCAGCTTTGTGCTCATGAGTCGCTAACCCGCCGAATTCATGAGTTCGTCCGGAGCCAATGCAATTGATTCTTTTGGGGGGGAGCCTTTGCTGGACTTCATTTACATATGTGGATACATGTTGACCAATCATTTTGAAGGCGTTCCCTCAAAAAGCCCTAAGCCTGGTGACCAGTATGCCAAATTTGAGCCGAAGCGACATGTGCCGTCTTTTACTGCCGTCCTTTACTCATCTCCACAAATTGTCTTAAGGTATTCCCCACGCGCGCGGAAAGTTCTTCCGTCCCGCCCGACATCAGCCCAGCTTTGGGCACTCTGAAAAACGCGGTGGGTGAGCTCCCCCCCGTTTGGCCGCGGAAACTCGGGAGTGGCAAGTGAAACCCTATAGATCTTTAAAGGGGTCTAGTAGTTGTACACCTCCTTTTGCTTAAGCCCCCTGGAGCTAAAAAATGTCCAATTGTGATAAGTTCCCGTAATAGAAGTACATAGGTGTGCTTTTAGCAAAATAGATTCGGGTTTCCCTGTTAAATGGTTGGAATAAAACCAATCTGAACCAGTGGAACCTATGTCCAATCATACCTAAATAGGACGATGCTGGCGGCTGCACTGAGAAACGCCTGGAATTTCGAGGCCGTGCCTATCAACTTGCCAGAGACAGCTTCGCCAAGTCCAGCAAACCTTCGACTCCATCCGGGCTTCAGCCGTTTTGCGCTACAGGACACCTACGGGTTCCATATAGTTCTCACCTTCTCCAAACGGAGCAAAGGTTCCCTAGACCACCCATCCTTGATTGCTTCCTGCTCCCCTGCTCAAAGCTTTTCATTCTTCGTGGTTTCTTACGGAAAACCCATTAGTTGGCAAAGAGCTAAAGTCCTAACATCCCTTGGCAAAACGGTCTCCAAAAGCATCGGTCTCCAAGCCGGAAGGCCCATCTGCCGCGTCGCACCGGGCCCCCCGGCCACGAACCAGCGCTGCGGCTCGCGGCTGGCGAAGTGCAGCGCCTCACGAGCGTCGCCGAGGGAAAAAACAAAACCCTCCACTGGGGTTGGAGGATTCTAAGGGTTTGCCATGACCTTCCCAAATTTGGGGTACACAAAAACACGGTGTTTTTTCTTCGGGTTTTGTTTATTTGGACATTCCCGACTTTGGGAGTCATACACAAGCCGTTTTTTTGGTTCAGGGTTTTTGGTACTTTGCACATGCACATTCCCCAATGGGGCGTACCAAACTGAGGCGGCCAAGCAGGGGGTGCTGCAAAGACCCATCATCGCAAGGCAATATTTTTGAAAAAAGAAAAACAAGAGGGACTTTAGCAACTTGGCCATTTCGAGGTTCAGAGCAACTCGGCACTGCAAAAGGTTTGGCGCGCAAGTCCCCCAAGTAATCTGGACACCCGACAATGGAAACTCTAAATGACCTTGCTGTGGGAAATCAAAAGAACAACGCTCAATTTGGCGGCTGTCATACTTTGAGGTAAAGCCTACAATATGCTTCAGTGAATCAATCAAAACAAATCCACAGTAGACTCAGTTTGGTGGTTGGTTTGAAGGGAACCCACTTCTTTTTTTTTTGGGGGGGGGTCATTTTTTGATGATACCTGTTGGTTCTGGTTTTGAAGGGACCCTAGAAAACAGATACCCCGCATTTTGGGATATGCCCAAATGGCCATTCCCAATCTTCACGCCTCGGTGTGCTGCCTCTCCTTGGAAGCTTGCAGGCGTCTTTCCTGAGCACTAAATTTCCACGCCTGTCCGGGTTGCTCTCAAACGAGCAACAGGTCCAACGTGTTGTTGCTTCAATGGGCCATTGCTTCCAAAGGTCTAAAGGGACCGCCATGGTCAAAGACAGAGCTGCCATGCTGTGTCGGGGTGTCAAGCCTTGAAGAAATCCATAGTGTTTGAAGGAAACCGAAAGGAACACGGAAAATCAAAACCGCCCCCTCATGAACTTGCGCCCAAACCGTCAAAGGAGTTGGTGGCGGCGACGTTGTTTTTCGGGAGGCGCAAGGCACCTCCGTGGCCCTAAAGAGGGTTTCCGCGAACCACGGGGGAAAACGGGTGTGCATACCTTATGGGTGCGGATTTATTTCGGGATTGTTTTCGTTGTGTTTTTGTGTTGAGACTTTTAATACCTTATATACCCCTCCATACCTTTGATGCCCGAAGTGGAGTCTTGGACACCGCAAAACTGAACCTTCCAAATACTAACCAGTGACTTCCGTGGACACAGCGCGGCTTCCGCCAGAAAGCGCAAAAAGAGTCGGCCAAACTGATCCACCAAACGCCCCTTAAAAGGGTCCCTGCTGCGAATTTGCGTTTGCTCGAACGCGATGCCTGGGAAACGGAAGTTGCGAGCCACAAGATCCGGAAGGTGCCTTTTATTTTCAGAAACGGAAAAAACATGGGGATTGGAAAACCCGTCTGAGGCTATATCATCTTAATTGAACAGCCACTTTACCGACCGAACCATGTATACTGGCTAGAATTATTCCATCCGCATTGAGTGCCAAGATCAATACCGGTGATACAGCAAACGTTTCTGCCTAAGGACTGAACATCAGGTCACCAGCTCCGGTGTTCCACTTGGACTTCAAAACCCAAGGCCGCCTCAATCCATCGCGGGAAACCCGAGATCTGTGATACCAAAGTGGGATGCCATCCCGAATACTTTGCCACTTTGAAGGGAGAGTCTTCTGGTAGAGAAAGTGGCCCTGCCCAAATTCTTGGCGTTCAATACTGTGGATGGACGAAATCCATTTTGCACCACTTAGAAACCATGGTTGAAACCATTGTTTGTTGGTATTTACAGGGGAATCGATCATTCCAGGGTTTCTTAGGTGGTGCAGGATTCGTCCATCCACAGTATGGGGGCTGGACAAATTGAAAGATTACTCCTTACCTTTGGTTTCTCTTTGGGTAAGTCGATGGGCAATTAATCGCACCCCATCTTCAGCAGTGAATCTTGTCTTTTCCAAAGCCCAGTCTGCTTTCGCTTCTGGCGCTCCAAATGTCTGTTACTCGTTTGTGGGGCGGGGTGTCCCCATTTAATTGCCCAACGATCAAAACCTTCTGCGGACAGTTACACTATGGGTAAAAACACTCAAGGATAGGAACTACTTCTACAGCTCGTTTACCCCCCCAGCTGGGTATGTGCCAAAACACGGGGACCCCGAAAATGGTGCATTTCCCCTCAGTTTTCCTTTGAAGCCAACCAGAACGGGCATCCCACAAACCAACACACCCCTCGACTCGGTGACCTCGCAACCCACCAGATCCATCCATTCCTAAGGGACCGCACCTTGAGATGGTCGATGGCGGCCTCCACATTCTTCCTGGCAACGGGAGGGGGTGCCACCTGTTCGGACCCGTTATGGAGTGATCTGCCGCCTTTTCTTGGAAAATATCCAACAAAAGGCCCAAATTTGGCCATCCCCCAACTTCACGGCCTCTGTGAAAACGGCCATGTGCTTCCAGGCTTGAAGGTTTCCGTCACACGAATGCACACGTGCAGAAACGAACCCTCTGCCAACGGTATATCCCTGGTAAAAAGATAGAAACATGGATCCTGTGGGGTGTTCAAGTTAGTAGGTTGCCATTTATTATCCCACTAGAGGCCCCCTGTCAACCCGGCTGTCGGGCAACCCAGGTGACCCCAAGGAGAAGTACTGGTTCATTTATTTATGAACACTGTATCCCTGCTCGCATGCCGCCGGGTTGAGGAACGAGAGACATGGAGTTGGAAGCTGTTGGTTGGTGTGCCCCGAGCCTGACTCCATTTTGCTTGCGAGTTTCCACTGGATCAAAACAGGGTTTGATATCAATTGGGGTCAGTGCGCCGCTGCCAACTTGCCACAGCACCAAGCAGAGCACTCCGACGGCGCCAAATAGCACACACACACACACACTGCCTTCATCACCTCTGAGGACTGGGCATGAGGTGCTGTGGATGGACGAAATCCGGTACCACCTAAGAAATCCTGGAATGATGATTCCCATGTAAATACCAACCAACAATTATCTCCCAGCAGGATGTCGTCCATCCATAGTACGTTTATGCTTTGGGGATGTTTGCAAGAAGGCGTGAGCAAAGCGGCACAAGCCGAGATGACCGTAGCAAGAATGTAAGCAGTCGCTCTCTCTTCCAATGATGCGATTGCCGTCGGCTGGACTTCTGGGGACTTGGGCGGCACCAACACCGGAGGAAAGGACATCTTTCTCATGAAACGCCTCACAGACAAACATCACAAGATGACTCTGCTTTTGCTGTTTCCGTAGCTTGGAGAGCCTTATCGTTGGCGGGCTACCCCGACAGTCCTTTGGATGGTAGCACAATGACTGGAGGTATTGCTGATAGTTTCTGGCTGGAGTTTTGCAATGGACTGTTCTGGTGGGGTCAGAAACTGAAATCGATGAAATATCGGGTATTGCTGTGGCTGCCAACAATGATATCGTCGCAGTCGGATCAACGGCAGGAATGCTTGACGACTCGAGTGGGAACGACCAGAACGATGGTAGCTCTTAGTGTCAGGCAGCAAATGCTGTCAGCGCAAGGGCGAGGAGTGATCAAGCACGGGAATTGGGGTTCATAATATATATATATATAGCCATGGAGAGCCCGAGTGATGGCTTTCAGGCTGTGCTTGAGCTGAAAAGCCCTAGGCGCTTGCAGGCATTTTGTTCAGGCGGACATCCCTGAGCCAGCCGAGAGAGTAAATTCGGTAAAATAGCCGTATAAAACTCTTGCAGATGCAATTCGCCGTGATGGCGAGATTGTGTGATCCATTGCTCCGCCTGGTTTCTAAGCCTAAATTGGGCTTTCAGCGCCGCGCTGTGGCCACCATGGGCCCTTGAATGGACCACAAAGGTTGCCACGATGTTGGCAGGGCGCGCCCGCAGTGAGTTTACTTTTGGTGGGGTGATCTTAAAACGGGAAACGATGGGGAACTGGCAGCATTACACAGTGGCTGGCAATGCCCAAGCGCAACAATGCAAGCCAACCTGATGCTGCGCTGACGGAACAACACTCACTGGAGCACAAATCTGTCACGTGCAAACTGCATGTGTAAAAGCAAAACAGCCACAAACTGGTCACCAACAAGGTAAACCCGTGTGAGGAGTTCTACGGTAAGCGTGTGACCGCAAGAAAGACCAGCACAAGCAGCGAAGCCAAAGTTCTGTCGGTGACTGTGCCTTGCGACTTTGCTTTAAGATGCCTCATAGGAGCTGATTGTCCTGGGCATGCCGCAAAAGATATGGAAGTTGTGTCGACGCACAAGTGCTGCACAGTGGGCTACATGCAAAAGGCATCCGTTGATTCATGTTGAACTACAGGCTCGCACGATCCCTGAAATCTGAAGAATACTAGCGAAAACTGCCGACGGCTCCAAGTTGGAGAGTATTGAACTCCAAGGCCAAAATGTGAGCCATGGCTTCGCAGACTGGTCAGGATCGTACAAAGACATATCAATCCTCTCCCGGGAATCAATGAAAGGAAGGGTGCCCTTGTGCGAATCAATAAGCCGCTGGCGGATCTTGATGCGGCGTAACCCATCTTTGAGGGATCCAAATCGCTTTCAGGGGCAACACCCCGGAAACAATTCCGTCAGGCTAAACGGCTAAACATCCAACATGACCAACCACCCTGTCATGAGGGAGGTCTCTGTTGCTTCAGTTTTGCTCCAGATTCCCAATGTCTCCTTCTTAAAATCCCTCACACAAATGAAACTCGCTAAATCAGCTGGCCAGCGAAAGGTCTTCAAACCACTTCCCTGCTTTGGTGACAACAAATCAAGGCGGACACCGATTTATGACGACTGCTAGCCTTGTGGAATCGGTGGGTAGTTGAGAGCCCCTTTTAGGGAACCTCCTCTTGAACTACCTCGAATGGGATTCCAACACTCAACTTGTGACCGCCTGGCGCCCGGGGCAAGCCAGCAGCGCAACCACTGCAGCCACCTGTGCTACAGGACCGAACGCCGACAAACCACGGGTGACCGTGTGTCTTGCGGGAAAGGAAACCCATTTTAAATGGGTCTGTCCTTTTTTGAGAAAGCCGCTTTTTGGCCTGTTTTCAAGGGACATCAAAGGGATAACCACCATTTTGGGGGTCCAACAACAAACAGCCCAATGATGATTTCTCCCTTTAGTTTTCCCTTAAAATGACCCGCAAGGGTACCGAGCCAAACAAGACATGCCCATCACACTCTGCCCAAGAACTTCAAAATCTTCCCAAACGTAGAAAGGCGCTGAAAACACACATCTTTCCGTGGAACGAAACAAGGACTACCGCTAAATCTTCGACATGGGTGAAATCGGTCACGAACATTCATTTTCGAGGTCGCAAAGTCTGATTTGCATATTTCTGCTCTGTTCAAACGGGAGGCTTGGCCATCCTAATGCATAATCTCTATAGGGAAGCCACTACTAGGTCCTCCAGTAGAGATAGAATAAGGGTACCCTTTTTCTGGAGTCCATTTTAGTAGGGGAACTCCTCCCCAAAAAAAGAAAACGGTAAAAGGGCACTACTGGGGGACCTAGACCACAAAGGAAAACCAACTGCTTGCGTAAGCCCTTGGCTGGGCTGCCCTCAGATCCCCGCCAAAGGTTAAATGGAAACCCAACCACTAAACCAACTGAAATATTCAAAAAGCTAAGGAACCGCATGGCCGGGAGCCACCAAGTTGGGTTACTTGAAGGTGACCAAATCAATTCGCAGTTTTATTTTGGGGGTAGGCATCTTGCGGACCTTTGAACGCCCGAAACCCGCCGCGAAAGGAACCAACGACCCTTGCCTCAGCAAAGCCCCCAGCGCGGCAGCCTGCGAGGCGAGGCTCGACCTTTGGTAGCCCGTTTTTCATGGACTGGGAGACATGGCTTGGTGCAAAGGCATGAGGAACACAGCCCATGCTTGCCATGAGTTGAGTCAGGCCGGCCCAGTAGAATGTATATCTTATTGTTTGCTTCACTTTGAGTCACTGGTGAAATGTAAGTTGGATCCTAAGTCTACCCCTGTTTGTTCCCAGGGAACCAAATTGAAACTGGTTTTCTTAGGGGGCCACCGAAAGCTTTCAGCCATGGACAAGGAACCTGAGGCTGCAAAAAGGCCTACGAATTGTTGGCGGTTCTTCCTTGGCATGATTCTTTCTTCCCCTCCTCACTGTTTTCACGTGTCGTTTCCTGTCATATTCTGGGAGTTACACCAGACGTATTTTTGCGGGCACCTTCCACTCTTCGAGCCTGGAAGAGTAACGCTTCTAAGAAGCGGACGGGACAACATTGATCTCAACCAACCGACCGACCGACCGACCAATCAATTAATTAAGCAACTAGTTAGCCAGAGGAGTTAACGTTTCGAAGAAGCGGACTGGACAACGTTGATCGCCTCCGGCTTTGCCAACAATGGGGGGTCTTGTTGCCACCTTTTGCGAGAAAATTGGCGACCCCCTCAAAAAGGAATCTTTCACTACGAGGGGGTCGATCAATTTTCCACGAAAACTACCCAACAAGACCGCGTTGGGCCAAAAATGGGGGAGGAGTTCTGAGCTACGGCGCCCGGCCCCGTGGCACCTCGTTTGGGGCGCTCAGAGGCTCGCCCCGGCGGAGCGCAAGCAGCGCCTAGCGACCGGATGTGAGGCATGGGCCGAAGTGGCCGAACCCCAGAACTGCGGAAAATGTGCATGGTTCACCAACAAACAAACCAGGGGTTGATATCAGGGATTCATGCGTCTATGTATATATTATATGTATATATATATATATATATAATGCACAAGTAAACTTGTGGATGCTTTGAGAGGACAAAACCATTTCATACCGTTGTATTTCAAGTGTTGGTGAAGGTTTGGACTAGGACCATCGCTCATAATTTTGTACTGTTCCAACACACCCTTGGACCCCACAAAGATCCCCAGTCGCAATAGGGGCGTGCTATGGGAGTCTTGTGGGATTTCAACAAGGGCGTAACGAGCATGAACTCTGGTTGCCACTGGGGATTCCTGCAAGCACACCATCTGATTTTGTTTTCGCCAAATGTCACAAAGAATGATGCCATTTGCGTAAGCCCCCTGGAAACAACAGAACATAGTTCCAGTGGGTTCCTCAGACATGTTCTGAAACTCAAATGAGAGTCTGCTCGTTGGGGAATCATTTCTAAACAGTAGTTTCGAAATCACAAGCCAATGAGCAGCCAAGTTATGATAGAGGACTTCCTTGATCGGTCGGTTGTAAGACTGGGGTCCTTGAACATCCTTTGGGACTTGCCAACGTGGCCTTTGGCTACCTTTTGCTCACTCGCAGGAAGTGCCTTTGAGCCTTTGAGGCAATCAACAAGTAGAGAACTATGGAGATGCTAAAAGATAAAAAGGCCACCCGTTCTCTTTGCCCGCTTGCTTTCTTGCTTACTTCCTTCGCGAAAGCTCGGATGCAAAAACATGACTTTGGCTCATGCCCTCTTAGTTCAAAACCTGGACCTGCAACTGAAAGGGCTCTAGCTTGACTGTATGTTAAGTCCTGGGTCCTCACCCAGGTAGCCTTGGATAAATAGGTCGGTTTACCCAAAAGTGAAGGTTCCAACTGCTCAAAAGGGCCCCCCATGAAAACTCATCCTGGACTCCCTGGCGTAACGGTTACGAGCCCATGCGTTGCGCTCCAGTATTCTTTCCCTGTACTCGCCAAGGGGTCGATATTTGCGAACACAAAAGAACAAGCAACTTAAGCAATGGACGCTTGTGTAAGTGTGTGGCTCCGAAAAGGGACCGCCCGCAAACGAAAAACAAGGTGGTTGGTCTCCCTTTTGGATTCCCTGCAAAGCAACACCTTTGAAAGGCTCGCATCTCCAAGAGACCCCACCTTGAAACGAGCAACATAAAAGTCTGACCTCTCAAAAAGTGACTAAAGTCCAGCAACTCAGGAAGTGAGTTGCACCCCCCTCAAAAAAACAACAACACCCCAGGAAAAATATATAATAATAATAATAATAAAAAACAACACCCCAGGAAAAATGTATAATAATAATAATAAAACAACACCCCAGGAAAAAATGTACAATAATAAATAGAAAACAAAACAAAAATACCAACACCCCAGGAAAAATATATAATAATAATCTAAAAACAAAAAACAACACCCCAGGAAAAACATATAATAATAATTAAAAAAACAAAACAAAAAAAACAACACCCCAGGAAAAATATATAATAATAATTGAAAAAATACAAAACAAAAAACAACACCCCAGGAAAATATATAATAATTGAAAAACAAAACAAAAAAACATCACCCCAGAAAAATATATAATCATAATTTAAAAACAAAACAAAAAACAACACCCCAGGAAAATATATAATACTAATTAAAAAACAAAACAAAAAATCAACACCCCAGGAAAATATATAATACCAATTAAAAAAAAACACCCCAGGGAAAATATATAATACTAATTAAAAAACAAAACAAAAAACAACGCCCCAGGAAAAATATATAATACTAATTAAAAAACAAAATAAAAAACAACGCCCCAGGAAAAATATATAATAATAATAAAAAAACCAAAAAACATTACCCCAGGAAAAATATATCATAATTAAAAAACAAAACCAAAAAACATCACCCCAGGAAATATATATATATATATATATTTAAAAAATAAAACAACACCCAGGAAAATATATTTTTTTAATAATTCTTTAAAAAAAAAGCAACACCCGAGGAAAAATACATAACACCCCTGGAAAACTGTATAATAATAAAATTTTGAAAAACAAAACAAAAATACAACACCCCAGGAAAAATATATAATAATAATTAAAAAACAAAACAAAAAACATCACCCCAGGAAAAACATATAATAAACATTAAAACAAACAAAACCAAAAAACAACACCCCAGGAAAAATATATAATAATAATTTAAAAACAAAAAACAACACCCCAGGAAAAGCATATAGTAATAATTAAAAAACAAAATAAAAAACAACACCCCAGGAAAATATATAATAATAATTGAAAAACAAAACAAAAAACAACACCCCAGGAAAAATATATAATAATTACAAAACAAAACCAAAAACCATCACCCCAGGGAAAATATATAATAATAATTAAAAAACAAAACAAAAAACATCACCCCAGAAAAATATATAATAATAATTTAAAAAACAAAACAAAAAACAACCCCCCAGGAAAATATGGAATAATAATTAAAACACAACACAAAAAACATCACCCCAGGAAACATATATAATTGAAAAACAACACAAAAAACAACACCCAGGAAAATATATAATACTAATTAAAAAACAAAACAAAAAACAACACCCCCAGGAAGAACATATAATTCAAAAACAAAACAAAAAACAACACCCCAGGAAAAAAAAAAAAAAAAAACAGACAGACCACTTGTTGCTGGCAGTTTGAGCTTCGAGTCCTGCAGCGTTTTCGCCGTCGCGCCTCCACCAAACGCCCTTCGCGGCCGTCGAGACCTGCCTAGGGCTTTGGGTCGTTTTAGTGGTCGTTGGGTGCGTGCGTTCGTCAAAACCTGGTTTGCGTTTTGGGTTGGTACCCTTTTCCGAAGCTTTTTACACGCTTGGGTGGTGTCAGTTTTGGTTGGTGCCCTGAAAATGCTGTGGAGTGTCGTTGTTGTTTGACCACGGGCTTGCTTTTAGTTCACCAAATAAGGTGCAACCTGCTTGATGCTTCAGTTTGTGTTTTGTTTTATTGTTTTTTTAAAAAAGACACCTTACAAAACAAAATCACCCCCGCCCCCCCGACTTGGGAATACCCACAACATCTCGCGTGCACCCTGAAAGCCTCATGCCGTTGCCTTTGAACCTGACTCCTGGTTTGGACCCATATTCCTTGGACCACTCCTCTCTGGGCAAATGTCAACGCCAGGAGGGTGATGCAGTACCCATGTTCTACCCCGATTTCGCCATGAATGATGGATGGCGCGGGTAACTCGAACTCGGAAATGGGTTGCGACCTGCGTGAGGTCCCTTTTCTGAGGGATCTCCGCATCACTTGAAGGTATAGAACTGGTCTACCCCCGATGAACTTAAGCGCTTACAGAGCACCAAATTGATGGGTTTTTTGTTTTTTCGCAAGCGAGCGAACGGAAAACCTGCAAGTGAACCGGGGATTGAATGCGCAACCTACTTCGGCCGGATTTACCAGATAGAATCCAATCGCCAACCTCTCAGGTTCAACAAGTTTTCAACATTCAAACCACCAGGCATAGATGGCCCTGAAACCCTGGCAAATGTGACAACACCAATTTACAAACCAGTGGAACCTATCTATTTCGAATCAAACTACCCTACAAAGCACGCCTACTGCTGATGGACGAAATCCTGCACCAGTTGGAGTGGATGAAAACAATATATACACAAAACACCTACCAGCAGGATTTGGTAACCAGCCACATCATGTTACCAGGGTACTCCCATTTGCTCAAACAGCCCCCTGCATTTAAGCAGAAAATATGTAATGACTTTTTCCATTTGCTCAGACCCTGCGTAAAAAAACACACAGTAGTGATATTTTAAACCAACAAGGTGCCGCGCCTCCTCAGCGGACATGGCACAGACTCGGCACCTGCAACAATCGGCCGATCCACAGGGGAAGCTCAGGGACCCAGAAAGGCCTGCGTCAAGTTCATGTGGCTTTTAACAACTTATGCAGTTGACATAGGGTGAAGGTACTTATTCAGAATGGGGTGAAGTTGTCAGTTGTATGAGCTTATGTTCTTGACATGGGGTGAAGTTGTCAAGTGTATGAACTTATGTGTTTGTTTCATTAAAAGCTGGGGCGACGTTGTCAGTTGTATGAACTTATGTGATTGTTTCATATGGGGTAAAGTTGTCAGTTGTATGAACTTATGTGTTTGATACACTGAAAGTTGGGGTGGCGTGGTCAGTATGAACTTATGTGTGTGTGTTACATTGAAAGCTGAGTGAAGTTGTCGGTTGTATGAACTTATGTGTTTGTTACATTAACATGTGGGGTGACGGTGTCAGTTGTATAAACTATCTGTTTGTTAAATGAAAGATGGGGTGAAGTTGTCAGTTGTATGAACTTATTTGTTTGTTACATTAAAAAGCTGGGGTGACGTTGTCAGTTGTATGAACTTATGCGTTAAGATGCAGTCTGTTTCGTGAGGCGGACAAACGTGCTCGTGATTTGAGCTGCGATTGTCAAATCCCTCAGTTCTTCGTCGGGAAACTTCCTCTAGGCAGAAAGAACTCTAACCACTAAAAGGGACCCCTTGATTGAGAATTGGGTCACCATTACCGTTCGGGTGTGCCCCAACCTTGCAACCTGTGCAATTAGGCATGTGCACATATGTATATATATATGCTGAACCCCCCCCATGATCTACATTTGGCATTGTTGCATTGTGTGGTTTAATGGCTGAAATACTCTTAGCCCGACTCACAATGGAGGCTGTTAAAATAATAACAGCCGTGGCAATGAGCGCCACGCCTAGCCCCACCTCAAAGAGTGGGCGCACGTTTGCCTTTTCTTCTCTCAAAGCTGTATCTTGAGCCCTAGATTCAACCGGATTCCAAGCTATTCAAGGATCCAAACAAACTCAACTGCACATGACCTATGGTCCATGTAAAAAAGGGAATCTAGGCTGTGTGTGCGTAGCAAAACAGGCTATGGGTTTTCACACCCTGCCTTGACTGTCATTTGACTAATGAACAGTCAACCGAAAACTCACAAAAAAAAACAGTGAGACTGCCTTCCAAAGGCATTCTGCACATGACGGCTCAAGCGCTGTGGAAAACGAGGGTTCTCTTCTTCATCTGGCTCGCTAGATCAACTTTGCGCAAATCCGATCCAAGCTGTCAGATCTTCCCAGCATCTCTTCCGGTTCACTCCCATAGTATTGAATGAACTCCTCCAGGGTCTGTGGTTCCCAGCTTGAATCTGAGTCTTCTGGATGTTCTTCACCACCGCCACCGTGCAAACCTCGAATGCGCTCTGCCACCAAGTTGTTCAAGGTTTCCATGGTGCTCTCACGAGCCATTCCTTCACCAATTGTGAAATGCACGATGGTCTTCTTGATGTCGACCAAGTTCTGAAGTTGTTCGGCTTGCTGGCGCAAAATCATCACCAAAACTGAAATCACAGGTACTGTGCAAATGGAAATCCACATGAACATAATGCAATTATTCCAAGTGAAAATCACATCTGACTGATTGACCACCACATCTGCGGTACACGTATTGGGCTCTGGGTCGAATGCAGCACTGCTTGCGAAGAGCATCCAAGTGTAACGGCCACGGCCGGTCAAATCCATGGGACAAGCATCTGAAACACTGCTCAAAACTGCAAGTACCAAAGCTCTCAACAAAGCTGAATTTGGCACTGGACCTGGCTTATGTTGCCACCCACGCACCTGTCTCAGAGCAAGCTGCTGGTCGTCTTGATGGCCAATAACAGAATAATCTTCATCAGGGTTTCGCAAAGAAAGCAAAGACATCAAGTACAATGTTCTCTGGGGTGTCTGTTGAAACCGCATGTATGGACAGAACCCTATCACGAACAGCCCGCTGCAGCCACAAATATGCAATGTCCACATGCTTCATGCGTCCAACCCCTGACTTGTTTGCATAGAACCTGGCACTTGAAGAATCACAATACAAACCAATCTTGGAATTCAGACCTGTCAGGAAATCACAAATAGCTCGAACGAACATGCATTCCTGTCCACATGAAAGCATAGCCAAATATTCAGCTTCGCAACTGCTGGTGCTAGTGCTCTTTTGCTTCCTTGACCAATGTGCTACAACGTTACCATCCACGACAACCACACCACCAGTTACTGAATGGCGATCTTTAGCACTCACCCAATCGCTGTCAGAAAAGCCTTGCGCTACCACTGTGGGCTGAGCAATCTGGTCTGAATGAGGCTCAACGTTGCCTTGTTGCAAGGTGCGGCCTGGCCAGCTATGGCAGAGGGCTTGGTACTTCATGAAACAAACTACATGCAAAAGTAGGCTCCAATATGCTTTGGTCGGCTTCGACATAGCTCTCAAGCTAACAGTCGAATGGAATAACTGCACTCAGGGCGTTCATTTCCCACATAGAGCAAAATTCCAACAGCTCTGCAATACTTGGCTCTCAATTCTTCATCCAACTCATCTGACTGTCCTGCAATACGCTTCAACGCATCACTGGGCAGAGGCACCTTTCTCTCACGCGCTGTCTCCAATTCAAGAAGTTCCACCAAAGTCTGCAAATGTTTGGGCGCCATCTCCACTGAGTATCCCCATTCATGCTTGCAGATCCGCTTCTTCAAGAAAAGGATTGTATCATCAACCTTTCCACACTTGTGGACGGCCACTTTATACTTCTTGGACAGAAAGCAAAGTAGAGCCTCGCCTCGTTCTTCATAGGCAGAAATCAACAAATCGTCCACATGAGTGCACACGCTAATCTTCTTGTCCTCAGAGCTGAAGATGGCTGGCGCCAAGGGACAAGAGTCCAATCCATGTGCCTTCATGTCATTGCCAAGATGTTCTTCCCATAATCTAGAAGCAACCCGCTGTCCTGGCAAAAGTCTGTGCATGGTCCATCTGCGCGACTTATCTTCCCAGTCAGTGACCAACAAAGGAGTCGGCTGTTCAACTTGCAAATACGCATCTGAAATATCTGCAGACCACAAAACTCGGTCTTTGTCACATGCTGCCTGGTGTAGCAAAAGACGTGGTCCACAACTCGGCCCTGTGTTGGAACTCAAAATTCGTCTGTTGGGGTCACAAAAAGCAAATTCTCTGGCGACTAACCTTGCTCTGTATTTCCAACGATGTGGAATGCTGCCATCCTCAGAAGCTGCAGCACCAGGAACCGAATGCAAACGTCGTACTCAGTTTGGTATCTGGCAACTCCTCCTTTGTGGCATTTGCGGCCACATCTTTCAACACTCCAAGCTCCACCAACCTGGAAATCTCTTCTTGCATAGCGTCCTGCTTGACCTGGTCAAGCTCTGCGCCTTGAATGTTAGGCGGTTCCTCTGGTCTCATCCATGCTGCTTGGAAATCTGCAAGGAATACATCTTCTACTCCATGAGAAAACAACGTATCTGAAAACCATTGCTCATCAAAAAGAAAATCGTGAGTCTCGTCATCGTCCACATGCAGGTCACCTCCAACGGCATTGACAGATGAACTGCTAGGTTCACTCTTCTCAACTGAGTCTGCTGGAAATGCGAAGTCCTTGATGACTTCACAGGCCGGGGCGATGCATCCAATCCTACGGTTTCTTCCTCCTCAAGAAATTCACCTGGCGTGACGGGTCCAGGGACTGAAGGCAAACTAGGGTTAGCCTCCGCTAGAGCAGCTGAAGCATCCCTTAAGACAGACTTCTCCCCCTTTGCCGATGCCATCGGGGGATCCGAAGATCCATGAAGCGCTGGGCCAACTGTGAGCTGGCATTTGACCTTCATCTGAGTTTGGTTCACTTCCAGCCTTGTCAGCAAGACCGGCTTGCCTATCCTTAGGCCCTGCCTTGATCTTATATGGAAGCACTCCAGCACGTGGGGCCCAAGGCAGGCCACTGCATTTGCCAAGCGCCTCCAACTGAAAGCGATCTGCGCACCTTCTCACACAGCGGCTGAATCTCAAACCGAATGGGGTCAAACCATATGCGCGTCTGAAGAAAGTAGTTTTGCTACCCAAACACCTTTGTACCACTGCCTTTCAGACTTCCCTGCCAAATGGGAGTGCCAGAAAACAGTCTCTGCAAAAGGTTGGAGCTTTCCACGGTAGGGCTTGCTGTGCAGTGACTCGTACGGTGTGCAACCTGAAGGTTTTCTCACTGCAAATCTGTTATGAAGGAAGCAAGCATGCGTATATGCCCAAACCGCAACAGGGGATAAGGCCATGTTCAAAACTGCTTTGTAATGGTCTTCTGCATGCCATCTCAAACAGTTACCAAACCTCCTGATGGTCTGGATGTGCCTCTCCACCAAACCTTGCGATTGATGCGATCCAGGCGCACCATGCTGCACATCTGTGTCCGCTCCCATCTTCTTCCTGGCTGCCTGAACTGCTGCCAGCAATGTGCGAAGAGCTGGCTCTCCATCTCCATGGATAGTGAGCTTCTCAGGTCCTACAAGAAGGCTGTGCCTAGTCAAGGCTGTAACCATGCTCTGCAGGCTGCTACCTCCTTTCTTTTGTGGGATGCAAGAAAACCATGCGATGGATATCATCCACTGCAATCAAAAACTTTTGCACATGCGCTGCCTTATTAGGTGTGGGCTCTTCATCCAGCTTCCCCGAATCTAGGCCGCGCTCATCTTGCAAATTCACATACATCAAATCCACCTGCCAAGAATTCCCCAATGTGGCCGCTTGGATGACTCATCCACCTGCTGCTGATGTGGATCAATCCGCGACCTGCTGCTAACACAGGCTTCACACCAGCTCATGAAAGGTGTGTGGTGCACTTCATGTTGAGCTCTCTCATCTGCGGTAGGCTCCCGGGGCTTTGACTGCACATTTGCAAAACGATTCTGCTCTTCAAACAGTGTCTTTGCTGTGCTCTCAACAAGGTCTCTCTCCAAATGCGCGAAGTGGGTTTGTAAC